TTATTATTTAAATTTTAAAAATATTCATTCAATATGTAAAAATAACTTGGTAACAATGTTATATATACATTTATTAAAGAAACAATGCTGGCTATTGTTTAAAAAAGTGTTGATTGGTTAATTAAAATAAGGTCTGAAATTAATTTATCTTTTTGTTATTTTAATAAGACTCCTCTTTCTTTAGATCATATGTTAAGCATAGATACTATTGAATTCTTGTGGCGTAGGTAATGTATCTAGTTTGTTCTGTGATTTGAAATGATTAACCCCGTTTTCTATATATATATAAAAAAAAAAAAGTATGCAATTTCTATAAGAAAATAGATATAAGTCTACAAAGTATCATATTTACAAAAAATTTCATGTAAATATTGAAATTTCTAATGTATTTAAAGACGTACTATAGCAAAGCTCTTCCTAATAAGGATACCAATTCTCCTCGTTTGTTGGGGCTTCGCTTGAGGACTGCCACATTTAGGATCTCTTAGATCGTTTGAGGGATAAGAACAAAGATCATATTTGTTATCAAATAAAATATAATAAAATCATCCTTATTTATATACACGTATGAATGTTTTTCTTAGTCTTCTCCTTAATTACTAACATATGGATGCATTTATATCTTTATTATTATATTAGTTTTACGATGTTGGAGATCCTGTGTGGAATTTAAAGCACAAGAGAAATTAACTTGAGACATGAATAATGAGAAGACGAAAACGAAAGTGGAGAGATAACCTTGCTTCCAAATATATGGGAAAATAATCTTCAGGAATTAATTTAAATATTACGGAAATTATCCTTCATTTGTTCATATGATTATTTGGAGTAGTTTAACCATTTTCTTAGTTACTAACTATACTAACTTCTTTAAATTAATAAATCTGCAAACATAAAGTTACTAGCAGACACATTAAACTCAACTTATTTTCCTATATCAGCTAGATTAGCTTATGTGATTAACTATGAGTTTACGATAACTATATGATTTGAGATTGAACTATGGTAGTATTTGGATTAACTTTTTGAGCTTAAAAGTTACTTTAATGTTAAAATTAAAAATACATCCTAAAAAAGAGTTTGTTCTAGCTTTTAAAACAAGGAAAGTTTATTCTTACTCTAAACTTTTGTTCAAAAGTATCTGTAAACTTGTGCTCACTCCAAAACAAGAGGATGGAGAGAAAAATTGTGTTCGATGATAAATAGTTGGATAGACTCTATTCATGGGTAGTAATTTAGGAAAAGGAAAAACAATTCAAATGTAAATTTTAAAAATATTCTTAGTGTTATTTTTAAATTAATATTTAAATTTTATTTCAATAACTTATGTCAACATTAAATACATTTTTTTATCAAAATAAATCTCTAATATTAATTAAAAATAATAACAAAAGATTTTAAAAATTGAAGCAAAATTTTGTGAAAAAGAAAGATTCTTTGTATATTTAATCATGTCATGTATATGTATAATAATATAATATAGTTCTCAATCTTGCAAATGATACAATCTTTTATTACATTCTCTTTTCTTTCTTAAACTTGTGATTTTATTATTATTTAGTATATACTTTAAGGTTTTATAATTATCAATAAATTTTATATGTTTCTATTTTTCAATGCCTTTTCTTTTTTTCACTTTCAAAATAATTTTCTTGTCTTTCTATTGACCAACACAAAGACATTAATTATAAAATTAATAAATAAATATTTTTTAATATAAAATACTTAAAATTATGAAAAATATATTATTATATTATTTATAGTATATTTTAAAAATTTTAACCATTATCCTATAATTGACCCAAAAAATGAAAGCTATTAAATATATTTGGAATTTAAAAGTGGGGACAAGGCATTTCCGTACATCTTGCAGAAATACGATGCAACCACACAAATTGGCCAAACGTGTAGATATCTGAATAGTAGCATCATGTTTACTCCAACTTTTTCTTTTCTGATTTTTGTGCCAAAGTGTAGAGATGAGTCTCTGTAGGCCACCAATTCATGGAAAATGGTGTGCACTGTGTTTATCTAAACCTTAACATCCCCCATGCCTCAAAAGGACACAACCCATTTTAAAATAGACAAAAGAGGTTTTGGTCAATAATGTACTCATAATCCTCACCCTCTTCTATAGCTATTAATTGCTCCAAGTTTGTGGGTTATTCTTTTTCAACAAACAAGGTAAACTATATGACCCCTCATGAATCAAGTACATTCAACATTTTATACAATATTAGTATATCTTCTTGTAGCTTTCTTTCATACTTTAATTTTACATCAAACTTCATTTATCACATATTTTTATATGACGCGTTCACCTTTTAGATAAGATTCATATATTCACATAACTGCCACATTTCGATATGTGAGTGAATGCTAGCTAGTTGTCGTTCGTTTAAAGCCCTTGGAAGCCTTGACAATGCAGAGTGGAAAGAACAATGGAAATTCTTACCTAACTCTTTGGATTATTCAATTTTATTCTCCATGTACTTTATCTTAATGAACATAGAGTTTGCAACTACTAAATTAATCATGATTCTTTCACAAAAGGTAAGTTCTTATGTAGTTTAAGGATATGTACAGGACTTGATTATCTTACCATTTAGTTTGTGAGAATCCCTTTATATTATATCCTTGCATACAACAAACACTGTTTTTGTGATGAACACTAAAAGATTCTAGGAAATGTTTTAGTTTTTTTCTGGAAATAGAAGGAACAAAGTTATATAAACCAAGAAAGCTAGCCTTAACTAGAAGATACGGTACATGGGGTTTGGATTTTTGGTTTTCCATTCTTAAAAAGTGGTTTCATGGTGATAGAATATAGCCCCTTATTTTGCATAATGGCAAAGCACTATGATATGCCTTTACTAGGAATTTATAAAGTACAATGGACTTACGAAGGATCTTCCAAATAAATTCCAACACATACTACCCTTTCAGAGATGGTTTATCTGGAATGTTCTTTAATTGTACTTCACCACTATCTGACTTTTATTTTTCTTTTTTCTCTTACCAACCATCATGTACTTCACCCTTATCAGATTAGTTTAGAATTTAAGGAAACGTTCAATAGTGGAGAATCACCTAATAAGTTTATATTGTTAAAATGCAGTATCCAAGAAAATTAAGGAGAAAACCCTCCAGGTATAAGACATTTAAAGCATATATAAAACAATAACGTTTTGTGTTTGCAAGTTGCAGCCTAGCCAGCCTCTTAGATTTGCCAAAACTTTTTGGATCTAATCTCTTGGGGTATATATATATATTTTCATTATCATTTCATGCAAGTGGGCCACAACAAAGAGAGACACATTAGCAAAATAAATAAGACTATAATCAAATTTATATTATGCATGTTAAAAAGTGACTACCACTTTTTGTTACCTTGAACGAGATAGGATTAATAAGGTATTTTAGGTAACAAGAAGGGTTGCATAAAAAGTTGAGAAGTACTATTTTAGAGAAGGAAATAGATATGTCAGCTCCTTATATGCTGTGAACACCAACAAGGTGTTGAGTGAACATGAAGCGATGAAGACCCTTAGGAAATATGATGGTTACTACAGTGTTCTTGAGACATCTGTAATATCATAAACTGGTTCTAATGAGTGCCACTGGCCTCATGCACATAGTGCTATTCAGTTCCCATCCAATCAATTTGAAGAAAGCTTAACGTAAAGGATCAAAAATTCAAAAGTGAGATAGAAAAGGAAAAGCATAGTGAACACAAGTCATTTTATTATATCTATTAGTAATGGATTCCAAAAGCTATCATTCCAATTCTTTATAGTTTGTCAATTTAATTAGAATTGCTATTAGGTAACAGGTAACACTAAAGGAACATAATTTAAGGTTCATTAATTTTCCCACAATTATGACCTAGTACTTTGTCTATGCTAATGATGAGCACTGAAGAAACTGGTAAACAGGACAATAAGGAGTATGATCAAGTTAATAGAAGGGTCTATATGATGAAATGGTTGGAATTTAGGTACAAGATGTTATTTGCTTAAAAATTCACAATTGCTCCAACACAGTCCCCTCAATCCATATATATGTCAGTGCCTCATGAGTCATCATAATTATAATAATAATGACCATCTAATATCAATTCTTGCTCCTTTTAAACTGGCCTTCATTGCGTCATCTATCAAAAGGAATTATTGGTTGCAAGAGTTTTCAATTTTCAAAATTGCTTCTGAAATTGGTAGGGACCTCTAGAAAAGCTCCCCTGAAATCGACTTTGGCATCATTTTCTATGTGCTAAAAAATATATAAGTTGTGAATCATACCATGTAAACATTTCGATTGTGATGACCACTGCAAACATATCAAACAGTGATTACAGATCATATTGGTCATAACTAAAATAAAACCTTGTCCTTTTACTTATTTTGCCATCTTTCGATTTAGAAAACGTTTGAAAGAGTTTATGTAGAATTTATGATTCTTATAAATTGTTTTAATTTATTTTTATAAGTTTTTCAGTATAGTTCATTAGAATAAATATTTCTTAAACACACCGTGAAGCATAACAAAAATTTAAGCACCATCCTCCCACTGCACAATCCTCTTGTTCATAAAAGGCTGTATCCGGTGCCAAAAGTTGAAGTCATAAATTTCCATTACACCATATTACCAACGACTAATGTGAAGATAGAGCCAAAGATAATATATAAATTACCTAAAGTAATATTAATACCCATAGCCACATAAATATAACCCAAGAACTTTATGACATGGACTCAGGACAGCCACTTATATGATAAAAAGTTGTCTTCTCCTGGATGTATATCTCATACCACATGCATACATTAGAAGCACTTGCCAATTATTGTTGAATTTCAGCTCATGTAAGCCCTAGTAGTACCATGACTCTTTGCTCAAACTGACCCCACTTTTTCCTATAAATTCACCCCACTTCTCACACAACCTTCCCCAGTTCCCATATCATTATCTCTGGCTATCACCATACCTTACAATACAACCAAACCCATAAAGAATCATCTTGAAAATTAGTTGCAAGTTCCAACCATGGTTCCTAGTGAGATCAGAGGAGTCCAATACCTGGCACCTGAAAACCCATTCCTAGTTCCACCCAACTTTGCCTTGCTTCAAAGTGAAATCCCAAACCTCCAGCTCAACACCCTCTTAAGCACCATCCCAAACTCCCACTTCCCACCATTAGGCCATGAATTTGTAGCTCCTCCCTCTTCATGCCTCAGCAGCAACTCAACTTCCGATGAAGCTGATGAAATTCAGTTCAATATCATAGATGAGAGGAAACACAGAAGAATGATATCCAACAGAGAATCAGCCAGAAGATCAAGGATGAGGAAACAAAAGCACTTGGATGAACTTTGGTCACAGGTTGTTAGGCTCAGAAATGAGAACCACAACCTTATTGACAAACTCAACCATGTTTCTGAATCCCATGACAAAGTCCTCCAAGAAAATGCACGCCTCAAGGAAGAAGCTTCTGATCTTCGCCAAATGCTAGCAGACATGCATATTGGAACCTCTTTTGCTTGCACCATGGAAGATTTGGAGGACCTTCCTTGCAACACTTCTCAACTCAAACCTCTTCCCTCAGCCTCAAACCAATCAATCACCCCTGATGACTTGATTCATGAATGAGCCTATTTTCCCCCATATAATATATAAACATTAATATTACTCTTATGTGTTCCTTTTTTTATTTACTTTAGATTTCTATCATCCAGTGGTGCCTCCTCCATTGGAGCTGTATGAGTTTATACAATCATATCATATCATATATATCAAAATAATTAACACCTTTAGATGTTCATTTTTTTTTTCTTGGAATCATTATAATATCAAGAAATTTTCGTTTACGTCCATAGTATGAAACAAATAAACAGTCGCTAGTTTAACATATCGCCGCGTACTTATCTTGAATCGATTTAGCAATCAAGCAAAAGCAGTGTACCTAGGCAAAATATGATACTATCTTATGAAATTAACAAAATTAAAATGGGGTCTATATCATTTTCATTCACACTAAATACAAACCCAATAACGAAAAATGGAACAGTAATTATATATATATATATATATATATATATATATATATGTGTGTGTGTGTGGGGGGGGGGGGGGGGGGGAGGGGGCGGTGGGGTAAGAAGGAGTGAGAAGTGAGGTATGCACGTGCAAAAGTAAAACAAGGTATCATAAAACCGAGAGAACAGCCGAAAGGGTGTTCATTGTTGCACAGAGAATAACAGGGCCAATACGACAAATGGTGGTGGAGGTGCTGGTGGTAGTGGATCATCACACACATTACTACCACAAGAAGCAAAACATATAATCAAAAGGGTATCCACTAAAAGCACAAAAATAACTGTTCTAAGGTTTTTTCTTAGGCCTCCTCGGTACCCCAACTTTCATTCTTGTGTTGTCACTAATGTGGATTATATAATATATAGTGGAGCCAATGGTTCAGGTGTTGCTTGAAATAGTACTTTTAACAAAGCGACAAGGAAGTGCATGCACCACACCAGCAAGGTCCAGCAACATGTCTATCCAGTTCTCCACCCCTTCCAAATTATTGTCAAATTGTGTCTTGGTGTGTGCTATGAATGTGAAGACAGTTTCTGCAGAAGGTTGGGGATTTTGCTTAGATTTAAATTTGGCAAAATAAAACCAGACAGAAGATAAACATGAATTAACTTGAATGGAGAGAGGCGTGTGGCATCATCATCATTGTAGTGTTGACAAGCGAATCTTTATAGCATTATATACAAATCTTGCAGCTTTTTGACAATCGTCAAATCAGGTCACCTTCTTGTTGGATTGCTTCCCAATTTTTCATGAAAAGTCAAAACCCATAACCTTCAACAAAGTTGTGATACTGATTGGCTTCAACGCCTTGGTTAATTTTTATATAATATTTATGTTAAATTTTTAACACAACTAGTTAATTAAAAATACATGATAATGTAATTTATAAATTAATTATTATAAAATAATATTTATTTATGATATGATAATGAATTGAATGAAAGTGCATTTAATTTTTTAGCTCGGTGTATTTTAATTCAAATATTTAAATATTACTCTGAAATTTTTATTTTAGTTGATGTCTTTTCATTTCGCCTATCATCAAATATTCAACACGATTTAATAATTAAAATTTCAACTAATGAATTTGTTCTTGCCAAAAAAAAAATTTATCAGATAAATATGGTACTATATACGTTACTTATGTGTATAGCTTCATATTTTTTTATAATAATTTTCTAATATTAATTTATTTTTTAAAAGATTTGTGATATTCTAAAAATATATTAAGATTAATAATTTTTTTTTACAATATTCAGAGAACTAGTATAATATAAAAAAAATAAAAATCTAACTTATAAATATTCTAATTACATATTGTTTCTCATATTATGATTATCACAAAATTAAAAAAAAAATCATATCAAATATTTTAAAGTGAGGTAATTAATTAATTTACCCATCTTGTAAAAATATTTTTTATTTTTAAAAATAAATATTAATTTTAGAAATTTAATAATTAAATTTAATTAAAATATATTAATACTGTAAATTTTTTTATATTTTTATATTATCATAACTTATTCTATTAGCAATAATTGTTGAATTTTATAATAATTAATTTAAAAGTTATATTTAACATGTGCTTTAATTGATCAAATATGTAAAACTTTTTACACTAATAATATAAATATTAAACTTTAATAATATCACTTACTAAAAAAATTGAATAACAACATTTTATGACTTCACACTTTAAATTTTTTAATATTTTTATCATTATCTTATCTTTTCATCATCATTTTAATCCTTCATAAGGATTAATTTTAAAATTTTAGATATCTTTTTAAAAGTTGAATATATCACAAAGTTAATTTTTTTACTACTTTTATTCCTTTTAAGTACTAATTAATAGACTATCACGTTAGATCTTTAATAAGATTAATTTGATGATAGATTAAATTTTTAAATGATTGATTTAGTAATAAAATATTTGAAAATTTAATATAATAATTATTTAAATTTAGAAAAAAAGCTAATTTAGTATTTTAAATCATTGGAAGGGCTACTTAGTAATACTATACACTGGCTTAACGATTTCCTCTCATTTTTATTTAATATCATTTCAATATCATTTCTTACTTTTAACATTTTGAATTTTGAAATTTTTACAATTTTAATATTAATCCATATTAATTATTAGAAGTAATATTATTTTATTTTATATATAATTTTGTTTTATCTCTTTACAAGATAAGAGTCGTTGACACTTGACATGGCAATCTTTATTTAGACACCAAATCTTAACTGTTCTCTTTACTTTGATATACTGCTTCATGTTAAACTTTTAAAATCAATCAAGCTATCATAAAAAATTAGTAAATGTTTCACGTAATCTAATTTAATTTTCCCTAATTTTTTTATTTTTTATTTTATTTTCCGTCGTTGACTCACTGTGACATTTTTACAAGAGAGTATTTAAGGATTAAGTATTATAATTTCTTTAAACTCACAAATCACTCTATTTATCTCTTACACAAAGGAAAAGGTTAAATTTATCTCTTACTGTCAAAGTTTTTCGTTTATTTTTATAAAAAATAAAAGGTTCATATTTTTTAATATATAATCATAGAGAAAATTATTGAAGCAGTAATTCACGTGTTGAATATATTTTTATAAATATCAAATTTTAACTCTTAAATTATGTAATTTGTATTATTACATATTCTAAATTTTAGATAAATTAAATATCCAAAAAAATTATAAAATTTTGTAGAATAGTTTTATATACGTTAAGAATTTTTAAACTAATAGTTAAATTAATAAAACTTATGTCTATAAAAAGTTATTTAAAGGAGTAAGTTAAGCTAAACTTTTTAATACCTTCACTAAAATGAATTAAAAAAAAAAACCATGATTACAATTCACAATTTAAACATGGAAAAAGAGAAAAAGTCGCTTCTAAAATGTCATTGCAAAGTATAGCGTGAAATTATGATGTTTTGAAAAAATGAATTATAGAACACAAAAAAGGTTCATGAATGAATGAGTTTGAAGGTAAATAAATAGTTAAAAAAATTATCCGTTAGTAATAGAACTCTAATTAAATTTATAGTAGTTATTTGCATAAAGTATAATGTTTAAGGATCAATTTGAAAAATAAAATTTAGGGTGTTTACTTACAAATTTAGTAAAATTTAAGAATCAATTGGTCTAAAATAAAAATTCAGAATATCTAATTGCAGAAAAAATAAATTTTAACAATTAAGATAAAATTAAAATTTAAAGTGTTTATTTAAAAATAAAAAAGAGTAAAGTTTAGAGAACTCAGTACTCTTTTTTGTATAAAATATAGAACATCTATACATATGCCAGAAAAGCTATAAATTGTGATTGTCATCACGCCTAATAAAAACACTTGTTATAGAATTTGTCCATGTTCGATGCTTACATTTTTTGAACAAAATTGACCATGGAATTTTTATGTTTTGACTTTCTGTATTCAAGGATCAATTTACTCAGAAGGCCTAAGGGGAACCCAAAATCTTCTGAAAACAAGACAATACACTATGTTGAGCAAAACATAAAATAAAAAATAAAACACACTATTAAATTAAAATGCTCAAATGTTATAGATGGAAAAGCATTAGATAACCATTATATAAAATTTAACCGTATGGATCCCATTTTGTTTTAGTCTAAGAGGACTCAGGCTTGTGTCATACTTGATAGTGACTTAGATGCACATCTTATGTTGTGTTTTATGTACAATTACCTTTATTTTTTTTCTCATCACTCAGAAATTCTTCTTCCATCCTTCCCTTCATTTTCACTTTAAGGGTGTTTTTTGATATATATATATAATTTAATTAAGTATATGTTTCATAAATTCTTATCACATAAATACATATATCATAACATTTTTCAATAAGTTTCATCACATAAACTTCTAGAGCCAAATTACCAAAGTATCAGTATTTCTTCGGAAATATTCAATCCTTGAACTTGGAAACAGTTTTGTTGATGATGAGTGACATGAATTTTTTGCAATGCCATCAATTACATGTGAATACAGTAAAGAAAAATTCATTTCAACATTAAACTATATGATTTCCCAGCTTTATCACGCTTTGTAAAGTCAATAACATAAAAGGGAAAGGGAGTTGTACAGAATAAATGTAGATCATATAGAAAGAAAAAACAATACAAAATTAATTAACACCTGACTTTGCATTTTGACTTCAAAGTTTAGACATGATTAGCTTAAGCCATTTTGTATTGAAATTCCACACGCAATTCAACTCAACCCATTTGTCAAAGAAGATAATACCCACAAATTTGTCAAAAGAAGTTAATCCAGTAGTGTTATCTCAACTACATGCTCTTATTGGCTAAATGGATTGTGTCAAATTTTGTCGGCCTCATTTTCAGTCATTCTCTATTTTCCACTTCTCTACATTTTGGACCTCTCTCCGAAACTACCCTCACTTTTCATCTACTTTTTTAAAAAAAGATGCACCCATATAGTTTTCTTTGCATATGTTGTTAGAATTCAAAAATGGTTTCCTATAACATCTAAAGACATACACTTGTGACCATTTTTTTCATCCATGTTAGCAATCACACTTAAAAAGGTGTCATGAGACTGTTTCAATATTTTTATATACATTCACAGGTTCATGTCTAACTCTAAAATCATGAATTCATGATAATGACTTTCTTGAAAAACAAAAGCATGCTTCATTCCTTAAGCACTATGTCAGGATCTACATTGACAACACATGTGCCACTATTGTTACTCTTAAATATCTCGTGTCACTTTTATTTAAGAAATTTTTTCTTGTAATCATATTAATTATAATATTTAAATAAGAGTAAGAGTAGTAATGACAAACCCACGCCTTTTATCCCCTTCTCTGCAAATATTTTCACTCTAGGAATAAATGTGCGCCTTGATAAGGACAGCCACTCCTTGAACTACAGTATCAATGAACAGTCTCAACTACAAGCTTAAGGATCCTTAAGGATGGATATTCACCATATACCTGATGTCTTGATTTCCCAATGGCCTAATTACAAAAGGGTCCAATTTTCAAAAGCATTAAGGCTTCAGAGTTGTGGGTTGGTGCCAGTATCTGGAATGATCAATTTGTCAGCCTTACCAAAAAGCAAAAGAAAACAGCAGGCAGAAAAAAAATGATATTACATATTCTTCACATTGACATTTTAGTATTAAAAAAATATAAAATTTATATGTTGTGCTGAAAGTGTTGTTTATCAGTTATCAGAAAGTTCGCATTTAATATTATCATATATTATTGAGATAAAATCTAATTTTGATTTATAAATAATACTCAAGAAATTACTCTTGTCTCGGTGACAATATAATCCTTAATGAACACAGTGACGAGCTAAAACAAAAAGCATGAAATAGCAAAATCAAGGCCCATTGATGTCTTGTGTGTAGACATAATCCGTGTGAGCAACCATTGTTGTTTTAGCCACACACTCAGTCCTGTCTAGTCCTTTGCAAGCACCAGCATCATTATTGAACCGTGTCTGCTCCTAAATAGTACAAGAAAATTTACACATAAGGTATGCACAATGTGCTTAATTGCTTATGCTCCTGACTCCAGAGCACTGAACACAAACATAAACATAGTAACTGAGCAAAACATAGCTTATGAAAGAGCACACTTACAAGTGACACTGTCACATGGGAAGCAGACACTGGTCTATGAGAAACAGATTCTGGACTAATGGAGTTGAATAAGAACCTGCTTTCAGAAACAGTGAGTAGAAGAAGAACAGAGAAAAAGGAAAATGTGATGCACCTTGCCATACGGTTGTATACGCCTAAAACTAACACAAAGGGTGAATGAAGGAAAATATATAAATTGAATTGAAAGTGTGAATTTCCATGAATAAGCATTGAAACCATGCAACCAGAAAGTCAAAGCAAATTCAATACCCCCATTAATTTAGAGGTAAATGCTTCCTGTCTTTCTAGGAAACACCAATATTTAATTCAGAGACATTACATTGAGAACTGAGTAGTGAGAACCGTTTTGCTCCTTTTTTTTCTTAATTGGTTAGCACTATTCTTTATGTTTTTGTGATGAGAGGCAACTGTAGAATAAATTAACAAGCTCACAGCTCACTTGCATGTGATGGACACTTGTTGATGTAGGAAATTATAACTTTTTCCATTTTCTTTTACAATGCTTATAATTCACATTGTAACTAATGAGTCTCGTTACCTTGTGCTTTAAAGATATTAATTTAAAGATAATAAATACATAAATTATAAAAATTACATGGGTGTATTAAAATTTATGAGAAAAATGTAACATTATACTTTTCAATAAAAAAATTACATCTTTATTCCTTAACTAATAAAAACACTGTTTAGCTTTTTTTTTAATAGTTAATTGACAGATAAATAGAAAAAATTATTAAAAATTGTTGAAAATATATTAAATATTATATTAAAAGTATATACAGTAATACACTTTTAAATAAAAAAATATTACTTTCAATCATTAATTAGAACCTTCAAACACTTATGTATAAATGAAAATCTTTTCCCCACAATCTATTGACCATAATTCATTTGAGGAGGTTATTTTTTGTACCACTTTTTCTTAGTTACACTACCCCTTTTTTTCATTTTTAGTGTTTAAAATATGAAAGTAATTGATACTTTTTAGAAATTAAATTTTGAATTTCATTTATAAATTACTTTCAAAACTATTTTTTTGAAATGATTTTATATTTTTAAAAAATTAAACTTCAAAAATAATTTATTTCTAAAATTTTATTTTCAAAAAGCGGTATTAAAAGAAAAGTCCTTTACATTATACTTTAGGACAAAACTTAAGATACTTTTTAGTGTAGTTATATAATGAAAATTATAATTTCACTTATCTGTAATAATATTAAACATAAATTTTTTATTAAAATAAAAATGTAATAATCAATACAAAAGTTTTGTCCTGAAATTTAATGTTACCATTTTGGGCCATGAACGATGAATCCATCCCAAATGGAGACCTGTTTGATGCGAGTGACTCTTTTCCTCTCTTGTAATTGTCTAACCCAAATATGGCCCATAAAAAGGGGAGGTTGCTGCTTCCCATATGGGTGATGAAGAATCAAACGATTATAAAATACAGTTTTTTTTTATACAATAAAAATGTTGTTAATGAAAAAAAAAACTAATTAAATAAATATGTGGTTACAATTTAAATCCATTTACTATGTTAAGTTGTAAAGACTTCCAACATAAAGAAATGGTGATAACATGTATTTGTGAAGCTTGCAAATACTAAATAGTACTGCAGGTTATAACATTAACATGAAATTATGAAATAAAAACTATATTAAAATATTAAAACTATAACATTTACTAATTAAGAAATTAAAAATAGTAAATTTTTATTAGAATTTATGTTAGCTTGCATTGAAAATTATGAAAATAGATGCATTTATTGCGTTATTAAAAAACTATTTTTATTTTTTCAATGGTTCGATGATAAAATAAAGACAATGACAGTGAGATAATAATTAAACTACTTAAACTAAAATTGAATTAAAGTGTTAAACAATAAAGTTTCTTGTATTCAATCATTTTTATTTTCTACAGCTTCCGAAACCCAAACCATAGTCATTCTGCGTCATCAAGCAAAGCCTGTAACTTTGAAAACATGTTAAAACTTTCTATCAATTTATAACATATTTAAATTCACGTTTAAATAATTATTAATTTATCTTTATTTGAACATTATTAATTATAATTTTAACATTAAATTGTATTTATAAATTTTTGAATATATCACGCTCAACCTGGAATTTGATGACAAAAATCAGAATATGAAAGCAGTTAAATTTGATGTAATGAAGAAATCAGAACCCTAAAAAGAAAGTGAACAACATATAAACATGAAGAATTATATTACGATGAATCTAAATTTTCTTTTGTTTTCTGGAGTAAACCATGCCACGAATCCCATCGGGGTCAGCAACGAAGCCCAAGGGGCGATAGAAGCCCAGAACTCGGGGCTCCGAATAGAGGGCAATATTGGAAATTCCCTTGCGGAGGAGTTCCTGAATCAACCTCTCCATCAGGGCTCTACCCAGCCCAATCCCTTGGAACGAAGGGTCAACCACAACGTCCCATATGATGGCGTTGAAAACGCCGTCACCGGTGGCTCTCGCGAACGCCACCGGCCGCTGCGTCTTCCGCTGCTCCACCCAAAGCACAGCCTCCGTGTGCTCCAACGCAACCCGAATCTTCTCTGGGTCCCGCCTCGGAAACCCCACCGCCACGAACACGCCGTTAAGATGATCCAGGTCCAGCCCCGTCGCGCCCCGCCGCACCGCGAAGCCTCGCGATTCCAGTACCTCGTCGGTGACCGAGAGTCGGTACTCGCTGTTGCTCGAGGACGAGGAAACGGTGACGTTTCGGGGGTGGGTTGGAGGCGTTGCCACTCGAAGACGGAGAGAGGGTGGGAGAGGGGCAGAGATTATGCCACGTAAGAGCATTTTTATTTTTAAAAAAATTTGTTGTTATTTATTTGTTTTCTTTTTAAATTGTGTTTGTGGCTTTTGGAGGCACAACTGCACAAGTGAAGTGAAGTGAAGTGGAAGATGGAGTGAGTGTTGGTTTTTGTTGTGATTTGTGGTTGTGAGAGAGCCTCTCTGGATAACGTTCTATTTTGATTTTGTGCAAATTTTATTTAGATTTACATGCTAGCAGTGTATAAAGTGAGAAAAAATTTTCTCTTTAGTTTTTTTTTTTTTTGCTATTTTCTCTTTATTTGAATTAAAGTATCTAATAGATGTGATTATATTAAATTAAGGATGTATAATAATAATATCAAATAATATTTTACAGAAATAACATGATATTATTGAATTAAATATATTGATAATATTAAATATTATAATTTTTAATAAAAATATATTATCTTTTATTGATTCACAGATTAAATCATATGATATTACTGAATTTAATATATTTCTTTAAATTATTATTTATTAATTTTTTATTTAGTGTGATTGAACACATTTGATAGTTGAATTTTTTTGGATTTAACGAGCTCCATTGTTGAGTTCTTATGAAATAGTTGAGAAATCTACATTTTGTTAAGATTTAAAGAGGAATGATGAATTAAGAAACTCAACTATGAATATTACAATAATGAACCTGGAGCATTTTACATTTTGAAATACGAGGAAAGATTCTAGTGAAATCAAATTTCTAACCCTCTTATCTATCATTATATTTCTAAAGTGTCCGTGATTGTTAAATATTTTTTATTTTATAAATCACTTTCATTAAATTTTCTTATTTTAATATAATTTTTTTTCAATCTTAAAATTTATGATTGTTCAAATAGAATTAATACAGTGAATTAGTATCTACGACTATTGATTCTCATGAAATGATATTCTGTCGGTAACGAGCCACCAATGACCCCAATAATTTAATGAAGTTATATGATTTTTGTAAAGGATTTCTTAATTTTGATTTCAATAATAATACGATTGCTAAGAAAATGTCTCTTAAATTTTACTTGGTGGTGACAATTATATGTTGAAAAAGAAATAAAACTGATTTTGTCTCTATCTATACGACTCTTAATTTTTTTTTATTAATAACTGAAGAGTATAAAAGAGAAAGGAAAGGAATAGATTAAATAAAAGTTTTATTCTTCAAAATTCAAGACAGATCAAGATGGATAAAAGTTTGTGTTGTTTATCGTCCCTATCTTCAAAATGTTTTTATTAACACATAAAAGTTTTACTGTTTTGATACGCTTTATAAACAATTCAAAATTAAAAATTTACAACAATTTCTAGTGAAAAAAATGATATCAATATTCTTTCTCTTTCTTAACGAGAGGCCAGTAGTGTTAGCGTATTTTGGCTTCCTATCTTCGTGTTAGTTGTTGTTTGGTACGTTTTGCTTTAGCTGCTGTCAGAGATATTTTTATGTAGTTGCCCTAGGGTTCTTAGAATTCTTCATAAACTACTTATATTTCATACAAATCTACATCCAATTATGCCTGGTCTAGTCACAATGATCTTCGTCACTTGGATCAAGTTTGAATGGATCGAATACTTAATTTGACTTCAAAATTTACAAGTTTGAATTCTATATTTTATCATGTAAGTTTGGGTTAGTTCAATTATATAGCCCTCTTTTACTTGCTCTATGGTTTGTCATGAGCATGGTGATGGTAATAGATATAGTTGGTTGATGAACGCTTGATGATCATTCTTAGATGAAGTTTAGGATGGGAGTGTTTTGATTAGTTTAGAAGAAGAAAAGAAAGGTTGAGGAAGGAGAGGGAGAAAGGTAAGCGGCCAAGGGGATGAAAAGTGAGAAAATATGAATGAACAGTAATCAATAGAAAAAGATAAAAAAAGTTACTGAAAATAAAAAATAACTTATTTGAAAAATGTTTAAAGGTTAAAATATTAAAATGAAACAAAAAAGTTAATTGATGAAACTGAATAAAAATTTTAGAGGACAGTATACTAATTTTGTTTATTTTATATGTTTCATTTATCATTTTGATTTAAATACTTTATATATTTTTAACTAATTTATATAAATCATATTTTTATTGTTTAATTATGAGAGATTTGTGTTGGATAACTTAATTTAAATAATTTAAAAATAAAAAATTAAGAGCATGTTTAATTTTTTTAAAAAAGATTTTTTTTATTTTTAAAAATAAAATATAATACAAAATTATATTGTATTTTATTTTTAAAAACAGAAAATTATTTTTAAAAAGAAAATCATGCTCTAAATATATATACAAAAAAATTAGGAAATCAAAATTTTGCGTAAATACGGAAACAACTAATGACATAAATGAATCATGTGAATTTTGTTAGGGTAAGCTGCAAAACATTTAGTTCTTAGAGTTAAAAAAAAATGTGAGATTCTTATTAATTGAAAAGTAATAAATCACAATAATATAGTTACTGAAAGTTTGGTTTAATTAATTTTTGAGGAAGTATTTGTTTAATTTCTTTGAAAAATGCTGTTGAAAACATGCTTTGATATCGCATATTAATACAAAAAGAAATGTTAGACAATAAATTAATGATTTATTTATTTATTTTACTTTTATTGATGGCACCTAATTCAGTATTAATCAATACAGAATTTCATTTCTGCACTTAAACTCCCAACACTTTCATTTCTGCATTCATTGATATGTACATTAAATCACCATTCCACAATCCCAAGTACAGTGTGTCTTTAGCGTGTATAATCTATCTTAATAAACTGCGAGGCAATTACAGTATAATTTAAAAACAAGCATTTGATTGCCTCTTGTTATTATGGTTTGATACTTAAATATGATTCCAGTAACTAGTCTTTGGATCTGGCAAGTTTTTACAAAACTTTTAAATTTATTCCACATACACCTTACAATTTCTTCCTCCTAGCTTCATTGGCTTTTACATTTGCACAAACTGCATTATAGGTGAGTGAATTTCCTTGTTGGTACATGACTTGGGTTGGACACCCTTTTCTCCATATTTCCAAATTTGAAAATTTTTGCTATTATGTATCTACATCCAAAAACAAAAATTCATCTTCTAATTTAGTATCAATGCTTTGAGTCAATCATACAAGAGCAGATATTTTATATAGGACATGTTATATTTTAACTATTAGTAATTTTCAAAGTCGAGAATACAAATGTATGTTTGGATTGACGTCCAATCTACTTTAAACCTGAATCCGGTTTAACACTATAAGATATTGCTTTTAGGTTAAATTACTTTTAGCAGTTTCTTAACACATATTGAATAATTGTTGATTTCCAGTTCAGTGGCAAAATTAAGGGTTGCATTGTGGATGAGGTAATAATCTAGAGAAAGAAAAAGAGTTTCTATCCTTTCACTTATGTTGCACAAAATAGCACATATCCATACGTTGGATAATGAAGCCTTTTTCAGTTAAACTTAATTGGAAACTATTAACAGATGAATAATTTTATTTATTTTTTGAGATAGTGTTCTTATATTATGTGAACCTTGCTACTTAATACCCAGTTTGAAGACAAACAATTTTCTTACCTGGCTCCTCCTTAAACATGACTGGCAGCACTATCTGCCACAAGCAATGAACCCTCTTCTTTCACAACCATTCCTTCATATCTTGCCTTTCTTTCCTGTTTGGTGGCTCTCTTGACCAAAGGGATCTTCTCATTTTCATTTTCAGTATGTTCTGTGAAGTCCAAGCCGTGACTTACCTCACTGTTTATGCAAAGAAATTGAAGGTGACTTGGTCCAGAAGCTGCATCAGAAGCCATGGAATCATCACTCTCTTCATCTGTATCTCTATTGCTTTCATTGTTGTTTTTCTCTCCTTTGTTTTCAGTGTGTTCATGAGCATTCTTGTAATTGTTGCCATGGTCTTCAATATCTACACTTTGCTCATCATCATCATCATCATTGGAGCCTTCATTGTAGAGAGGAGAGCCAATATAAGTGGTCCATCCAGACTCAGTGCCTTTGAATTCCCCTTCTGATGCTAACTCTTGGGAAGGTTCCATAGTGAACTTTTGACACGCTTAGAAAAAACAAGAAGAAAAAAGAGAAAGTGAACTCCAACAAATTTGGAAATTGATTTTTGCCTTCTATTTTACCTAGAAGTCCGCTAGTGGTTTTTTATAAACTCTCAACATTCAGTATTACAAATAGGACACAAGGCCTATCTAAACATTTCAGGTTTCACCCTCATTATTGAATTGGCAGTGTACGTTTTGGTTACCTGGCAATTCTATCACCATGCCCTCTATTTTTACAATCACTAGAAGACAAGGTTTTTGGTAATAATACAATAAAAGTAGAACTAGAAAGATTTCACCCTATCTAAAGCACAGAAAATTATTATTAGAAGTGATGGAAAAAAGTTGTCATAGCAAGAAATAATTAGATTAATGAAAAAGACCATTTAAGGAGGTGTACTTAATAGTATCCTCCTAAATATAATAACTCCTTTAGTTGCTATTAAGGTTGAGAGCAGATGCGGCGTGTCCACTTAATTTGTGAATTTAAACACATTTTGTCACTTTGCAAGGCTTCAAATTCAGTCATGTCATCAACAAGGGACAGCTTTTCTCTGACAATGTAACAGAGAAAGCCAACTGGGTTTTGGCCTTTTACAATAGGTGGCTGTGTGCTTTGATGAGAAAGGCATTTATGCTGCTGCTGCTTCTAAGCCCTTTTCTTCCCTTTCTTTTTCACTGTCTATGTTCTCGAAATGGGCGTGTGTTTTTCTTTTCCTTTGTTGTTTTCGTTTCAACAATGGTAGCAAAATGTTTTCACATGCTGGTGTGTTTTATTTACCTATTGAATCATTTTTGCATAAACATAAATTTATATTTATTTTAATATTAATAATTATCTTTTGCATTGAATTTGTTTTTACAATTTTTTCAATGTGTTTTAAGCACTATAATGTTTGGCTAAAGAGATATGAAAGAGATGAGAAGAAAATAAGAAGATATTTGTATATTGTCTCTCTTCAAATATTTGAGATCTTGAAAATAAAAAAGATATATTAAAATTTACATATTTATTAAATAAATTATCCTTAACATGAATATCAAATTTAGTGCTTTCATAGTTGTTTTCTTGATAAAACTATGAGGATTAAATATGTTTTTAATCATTATAAAATATTTTTTTAATTCCAACAAGTTTTTCTGTTTTAGTTCATAGTTAAAGTAAAATAGTTATTAGTTGCTGAAGTTACTTAATTTCCATTAATCATTGACTTAACTAACAAAGTTCTATATCATCATATTATTTTTTTTAAAAATAAATACATTTTAATTTCTATAAAATTATTAAAATTTATTTTTAGTTTTTATAATTTATTTTTTGCCTTAAATCTTGCTTAAAGTAAATAATTAATTTAAACATATTAACGTAGTATCCATCAAATTTAAATTTTATAAAGAATGATTAAAATGTCCAAGCATGCAAGTTTTCTTGTAGGAATCTTAACAAAAGATATATAAAAGCTATAATCATAAATTACTGTTGCTTCCTGCTTTGATAACATGAAAAAGACAATTCGCCAGTGAATCCAAAGGGAAGGCACTATTTTTCTCGTTTAACTTTACAATGTTCCCAGAAATCCTTCAAAGTTGATATCATTTTCTTTTATAGTATTTCAGAGTTTGTTTCAGCGTCTTCTTTCTTGTCTCATCTGAAAAAAGGAAGAACGTGGATGAGTCATGAATTGGGGTGATCAGATCAGAAGTGTATGTCATAGCCACAAAGGAAGAGGATCAGAGGCTCAGTGGTACAGAAGAAGGGGTCAGGGAAAGGTGTTCAAATCATTCACCACATAATTTTTGGGATACTTGCAAATTACTTTCAGTGGACACGCAAGAAAATATTACAGGGTAATTTTCTTTCTTTTTTTTTCTCTTTTTCTTTTAACTAACGCATAAATCTATTTTATAATTTATTTTATTTATCTCTTTAGTATAAGTTTTGTTTTGTAAGAAACTTACATTAAAAATAAATATAATATTACACAATTCATTATTTTGATGTGCTTCTACATGAATAAGAGAATAGTTTATTTATTTTTTGTCCTATTTTTTCTATCACATCATAGTAGTATAGATTGAATTATTTTCATTTAGGTTTATCTTAAATTTTATTTTATTTTTAATTGTTTAAATTATCTTAAATTTGTTATTTTTAAACTTTGATACACATTGTTAGAATTTTATGTGGCCTATAAAGAGGCTCTCTTTGTAATCAGTCAACAAACCTTTTAGGACTTATTTTTATATGAAAAATTATTAAAGTATGGAGTTTTGGAGAAAATTAAAAAAATGATAAATTTTTAAAAATGATTAATGGTGTTTTTTGGCATTTTAATTGTTTTTTATTATTTTTCTAGAAATTATCATTGGTGTTTTTTATTTTTAAAAATTTTCATTATTTTTTATAAAATCATCATTAACTTTTTATAAATTTTATTTTTTTAAATTTTTTTTGAAATCTTAAAATTTTTCATTGATACACCATTAACGATTTTTGAATCACATGTTTTTCTAATTTTTTTAAAAGCATCGTATATTAGTATATATAATTTTTAAATCTCATATAATAGCTAATTTTTATTCTTGATAAACATGTATATTAACTCTATTTTGAGTTTTTGATGGTAGACTAGAGATAGTTTTTGCCAATAACAAAAATTGATTATCCACTTGGATCATAGACGTTTTTTAAGTTTTATTGGATCTCTTAAGCACAATTTTAAGCTTGTTTTTGTATTCTAGTGTTTTGTTTGGAATATTTCATTAATTATAACTAGATAATGGTGCTATTTTTTTAATTAAAACTTTTCTAATTTCACTTTACATTGAAGTTGAGTAATATTATATTTTAGTTCAAAAATTTCAAAATTTATCTTCTTGACACGATCCTTTTCTTTTTAATCTTATAAAAACTCTCAATAGGTTAAATATGATAAACCTATATTAGATCAAGAGAAAGTTATTTTGGTTTTATCAATATTATGCTAATTAGTCCAAGTTAAGTTGTTGGTTATTCATACTCTTTTGTTTCAAAGTATTATTCTGTCCAATGCTAGCAAGATGGGATCATCATTTCTTGGAAAATTTAACAAGAAGGTGTCTAAAGCTATAGCATTGCCGTGCCACATCACTTTTTAGATAACTGAAGAATTACAATGAAGAGATTAAAATTAACGACAAATTATACATTAGGGAATATGAGTGGGCAATGCCCTAAAGTGACAGGGAAAGGGAAAGGGAAAGCGGAATTGCTCTGTAAACTGAGAGAAAAATGGAAGATGTGATAACAGAAGGAGGAGGAGCATCAAGGTTCTTAGAAGAAGACCTAAACATATTCACACCAAAATCAACACCTCTCCCATCACCATTCATAATCTTCTCCCACACCCTAAACCAACCTCTCAAACCCAAACTACTCATAATCGCACTCTCTCCCTCATCCCTCTCTCTCTTCCACAACTTCCCACACAAAACCCTCATCGCTTCCCTCATTCTCCCAGAACTCTCCCTCTCCCTTCCCCACAACACCGCCCTCATCCACTCCCTCTCCCCCACCACCCTCCTCGCCACCCTCCCTTCCCCCGTCGCCTCCCACAGAGCCCGCGCCGTCGCCACCCTCCTCGTTGCCGACCCCATCCGACCCGAATCCGTACTCATCCTCGACTCCATTGACCCGCGTAACTTCCGCGGCAAGCTTTCGTCCGACGAAACAGTTGCGTTTAAGTTGGAGAGTTCTGCTGAGAGGAAGATGAGTGACGGAGACAAGTTGTTGGGTGATTTGGCGTATTATCCTTCTGGAAGCGTCGTGGATGGGTTGGGTGCCGCGGTTCTTGCACGATGTCAGGCTTTGAACGTTAGGGCTAGCTTGTGCGTTTCGTGGCCTCAGTTTGACTCGGCCGTCGTGTCGTTTATAAAGGATTTGCTACGGCGTGGCGTTTTGCGTGGTTGTGAGTTGGATTTTGGTTTCAGTGATGAGGTTATGAAATTCGGGAGGAGTGTGGATCGGGGACATCAGTCTGAGTTGTATATTTGATTTGTGCTGCATTTTTTTATTATGTGAGTGTCTTTATGTGATGTTAGGATGTTCGTGTGGTTTATGGTCGGTGACTTGATATGGTTGTTCTTATTTGTTCTGGATTTTGGTATATTTGATTTTGGGCGCGTTTGGAAATATACCTGTACCAAGTATTTATTCATAAGCTTATACCATATATTTGATCATACAACTTTTTGAAATAAACCGAAAACAGCTTATTCTGATAATATATATACTGGATAAGTTACGGAAATAAGTTTAAAAGAGCATAGCTTATTGAAAATAGCTGGAAAAAAGCTTGTGAGAGTTGTGAGCTATGTCTGTAAGCGCTTCATAAACTCTTCCAAACTAGGTGTTTAATGAAATTAACTTTGAACCTTTGAGATGTCTTACATTAGCATCAACCATAAAATTTTAGATTGGAACGGGTGTTGTGGTCGGAGGAATTGATTCTTGTAATTTGCCTAACAGAATATAGATGGTTTTTGGTTGTGGTTCCATTTTTGTATTTTATGGCTCTGTGGATTTCTTTTACAAATGGACATGGAATGCAAATTGACAATATTCTTGCATGGTTACATGTTGAGGGCTTGTAGCAATGTCAGTTTCTATGTCTGATATTGATATCTTATGATTGGCTAACTATAACTTTGTCAATGTGTTTCCAAAATGGTTGTGGATGTCAAATTTGCATGTTAGCTGCTGCTGTTCTTGCAATTGATGCCCTGAAACATGGTCTGAGTATAGAGGATTGCTTGTTTTCCTTGAAATTTGCTTTTAATGATCTATCTCTTAGGCTATGTCCTATTTATGGCTTGTGTGGTCAATTACTTGCAAAGTTTCTGCTTATGGCCAATGAAAGAACTATTGATCTAGATGCTCTTTTGATTTGATTGAATGTTTGCGAAGTTGTGTATTGTGGTATTAAAACTAATGCTTTTGTTCTTGGACCATAAGCAAGATTTTAAATCTTCAACTACATTGTACCATGACATTTTGGTTGTGGTGGCTCTTCCAACTGCATCAAGCTGTGATTGGGGACTGCAATTGGTCTCCAATGGCCGCAGCATAATTGTGACTGAAATTCAACCACAACAGAAATTATAACTGTGACTATAGGTAGTAGGATGCATAATCGATGTAAGTTCTTTCCATGGCACTTCAGATATGCTTTTCAAATTGTAGCTGATTGTTGTCAATGAAACATGGTTTTTGAATGATGGTAGATATAGAGGAAATAGAGCCTATGTGAGAAAGATAATTTCTGTGCTGCCCCTTGATTCTGGTGATGTTTTTCATGGATAGACAACCAATCTAGTGTTAGCTACAGGCTGTTAAACTTGGTAACATTTGTTTTACAGTTTGAGTGAGGAGGTATTGAAATTTGGAAAAAAGGATCATGAATTCCAATCTGAGTTGAATATTTGATTTATGGTGTAATTTTCAATTATATGAATTTTTTTATGGCTATGGCTCAGTGTGGTATGTATGATTTTTAAGTTACGTTAAGATGTTTGTGTGGTGTTATTATGGTCAATTTTCTGCCCTTTGTCAATCAATTTTTCAAATGGACATAGGCTGTAAATTTGCAAAATATGCTGACTTATGAATGCAGATAACAGGATTACACTTCCAATGAACCTTGCCTTTTGATTGGTCAACTATAGCCTTGTAAACATATTTTACATAAGATAGTGGATGCCAAATTTGCATTAGCTGCTGGTCTTGCAATTAATGCCCTACAATACATGATCATTATTCCTTCTTGTCAATTCCATATCTTTAAATGAAGTGATTTTAATATTTTTGTTTATTTTTGTTTGTTCTGACAAAGTGAGAGCGCCGTTATAGGTGCTCTTGGAGCCAAGGAAAAGTGTTGATCTCAATGATTTTTTGAATTGAATGTTTGACCAGTTGTGTTGTGGCTGTAAAAGTAAGGTTTTAAATCGTGGCTCATCAAACTATGTGAATGTAACATATAGGTTGTGGGGGAATTCGTAACTGCACCAATCCGTGATTGCAAATTAAGTTGGTGGCAATTAGCCTGCTAGGAGCTACATAATTATAACTGCAACCTGATTACAATGGCGATTTTAATCCGGAATAGGCATAATCGAAGTAGGCATGTCTGGTTCAGCAGCCATAAACATCGGACATGCATATTTTTGAAGCTACTAAGATTAGCTTTTGCCTCTCAAAACACGAGTAGTTTCTTTTTACTGTGCTTGTAAAGATGCTTTTCAACCTATAGATGCGAATAGTCAATGAAACGGAGATTTAAAATGATGGTAGATATGAAGAATATTAGGTGATGCCTGCCTCTGAGGAAGATAATTTCCATGCTGCCTCTTGATACTGGTGATGTTTTCAATGGATACAGAACCACTCTAGTGTGACCTTCGGCAGTTGAATAACTGGTAGCATGTGTGTTAATTCCAAGTCTAAATTCTCTAGAAACAGGCTATTCACTGGTATTTAATGAATATATTACTCGATCTCTAGGAAACAAAAATGACTTTTACATGGGTGATAAAAAGAACGATCAGATTATGTGAGGAGATTTGAAAAGTAATTTGAGGTTTGGAAAAGGAGACAGACGCTGCTGCATCTGCCTCTTCTGAGTCCGCTTCTGCTAATGGAACAGAAAATGTTTCAATTCATGAGAAAATTTTCTATATATGGAACTAGTTTTTATCATGTTCCCGTCTTGTAGTTATTCTAGCTTGTTCTCATATTGGCTCCTAATCAATTCTGCATGTGCTTCTTTGATAAAAAAAAAACTACTGAAGTTGAGCATTGCCCAAGGACTTTGTCCTTGTTCCGAATATATTTTTTTCTCGGCATCGGTGTATCACCACGTTTAGAATAAAAAAACTTCGTTTTTCTTTAATTTTTTATACACACCGACGTACATGTATATCAATTCCTTTCTCTGTTTGCCCCATTTGATTATTACTCTCAATTAATCTTAAATCTAGAATTTCCGTCTAATTTACATCGTATCCATCATGAAAAGAAAAGTAAAAGAATTCAGCAATTATTGAAGGAAAAAATCACCATGGGTACTCTGAAGGGACAGTCCCATTCTTGCTTGATTCTGAATTTCTTGCATTTTTTTCTGTTTGAGTTTAGAATTTACCTCCTTGGACTATTTCCTGTACAAAACCATATAATAAATAAGAGATAGTCAATAATATAGATGAGAAATTTGAATATAATTGTTAAGCATTCTTATAGTTATATATACTTTAATCGTGTAGTTCACGATCATGACTGAAATCGCAATACATTTTCCTTTCTTATGTAAAACCAGCAAGAATTTGATTTAGTCCATAGGCAATCTTATACTTGGAGGAAAAAACGAGAAGGCTAACGTACAAATTGACATTATATAAACATATTTGACGTGTGAAGTACATATGCTTTTGTGACAAGAAAATGAATGTGATGTAATGCAAAATGGTTAAACCTAATTCATTCAAAGTTGGACTGTTAAAACCTGTCACAGACGACAGAAAGATGACAACAAAACGTGCAAATAAAAATATGGACTGATAAAGGGAAAACTGTAAACATAAAGTAACATCAGCTGTTATTAGTTTTTGTTTGGTGACTGGCCTTAAAAAGGTTTTAAGTAAAATTGCTAATGTCGGGCGCATAATTTCTAATAACATTATATTATTTTTTCTATACCCCTCTCTATGTAGAATGTAACTTTTAGTTTAAGAACACCCACCAACTTGATATTAGTTGCATCTCCTCTTGACTCTAAGAAAACATATTTTCAAATTATTCAAATAGCAAATGCATGGACAATGTAACTATATTTCATACAACTAGTATATATTCTCCGATTCCCACCCATATCTTCCACCCTTCATTATTTTACAAACAAAGCTGAAGTAATAACAATGGTTCCTTCCTTTCTTTCAAAATCCTTCCTTTTGCATGTTGTTCTTGTCTTTTGCTTTCTTGGTGACACCACATTGTATGCAAGTGACCCTCCTCTAACACTGGATTACTATGCATCAACTTGCCCCACTGTGTTTGATATTGTTAAGAAGGAAATGGAATGTGCAGTGCTTTCTGATCCCCGTAATGCAGCCATGATAGTTAGGCTACACTTCCATGATTGCTTTGTTCAGGTTTATAACTCTCCACTATATTATTGGCAGTGTTTTCATGCTTAAAAAACATTTCTCATTACATAGTACAAGTTGTGGTTATTGCATATTACTCTATTACTTTTTTTGTACAAGAAAACATCAATTACAATTTTCTCAATTCTAAGGAAACTTTAATCAGAAACTGTTAGATGAACAAATAAGAGTGAAATTAATTAAGAAAGGAGATAATTGTGAAGATATAAAGGGTATAATAAGATATTAAAAAATAATTTGAAGTTAAATAAGAACTTTAATTGTATTTCTTAGCTTATATGTAATTACATAAAAGGGGAAAAAAGGAGTTTTTAATTATCGTAATATAAAACCAACATGAATCTATTGAGAAAAAGTACACACACACTACCTAAATGTGACTTTGATGGGTTCAGGGGTGCGATGGATCAGTTTTGCTAGATGATACAGTGACACTTAAAGGTGAGAAGAAAGCAGCTACGAATATCCACTCTTTAAAAGGTTTTGGACTTGTTGATCAAATCAAGAACATTGTTGAATCAGAGTGCCCTGGAATTGTTTCTTGTGCTGATATTCTCACTATTGCAGCTAGAGATGCTGTGATTCTGGTAAAAGAAACTTCATATAGTCTGTACAATGTTTTTGGTAAATTGTAATCTTTAATGCATAGAAAGTACTAAAATTGTGCACATGCCTCTTGTAGGTAGGTGGACCATATTGGGATGTTCCCGTGGGAAGGAAGGATTCTATCACTGCAAATTTTGATCATGCCAACACTAATCTTCCCACTCCAGATGAGAACGTTCTCTCTATAATCTCCAAGTTTCTTTACCAAGGCCTGTCAGTAACAGATATGGTAGCCCTTGCAGGTGTGTTTCTATTGTTGAGATAAAACTTTAGATACAGATTTTTAACTTTTTCCTTCATTCGTCATTCAGATCCTGAAAAACAGTTGTAGGTGTTGTGTGCATTCTTCTTAATTTCTAGAAGTTATCATTCAAACATGGAAAAACAGCTACAAAAATGTTTAAATTCAGAAAAGGAAATCAAAGAATATGAGAGTTTCATGACTAATAATAGACCATAACATTTCTGTAACTAGTGATTTCGCTGATGTGATTCATCGGAAATAACAAGTTATGGTAGATGAAGTGTAGTTACATCAGGGATGTTCCACAACTGTAAATACGCGACAATACTGCATACCTGAACTGGTGGATCATGGGTCTTCCGTTATGCGTTATTAGACTTCGAGCCAGCATATAAAGAGTAGAGTTGTCCTTGTACAAGTTTTAAAAAGATTTCTTTGCATCATTACTTCAATAAAACTCTTTCTACATCTGTAGTTTAAACCTTACTTTTTACCCAAAGAAAACTTATTTCTGCTAAAAGGAAACAAACCAAATTGCATGGATTCAATACTCAAAATATGATCATTGTAAGATAAAGGGTTGGTTTGAGTGAAGCAAGACAAAGTCTTAATCTGATAGATTGCAGGGTCGAGCTCTCGCTTGTCTCCTTGTAGTGAGGTAAATATAAATGCTGAGTCTAGAGGCTTTCGCCACCTTAGACTTCAGCATTATTCCCCTTCTCCTAATTTTTTTTAACAAATATATGTATGTATATGATCATCGGCATGCAACAAATGTCGAGACTTGATTTTCTAAAAATATTTCTAGCTGTATGAAGCACTTTCATCATAGTACATTTTCTAATTACTAAGCCTGCAGGAGCACACACCATTGGCATGGCGCGGTGTCAGAATTTCCGGTCAAGAATTTATGGAGGCTTTGAATCAACTTCAGTGAAAAATCCAATCTCTGAGAGTCACCTAAGCAGCCTGAGATCTATTTGTCCACCAATTGGAGGAGACAATAACATAACAGCTATGGACTATGTGACACCTAATCTCTTTGACAACTCTTTCTACCAATTACTACAAAATGGAGAGGGACTTCTCAACTCAGACCAAGATATGTACTCAAGTGTGTTTGGAATTGAAACAAGAGAGCTTGTTAAGAAGTATGCAGCAGACCCTCTTGCTTTCTTCCTGCAATTCTCCGATTCAATGGTCAAAATGGGAAATATCACAAACTCAGAAAGCTTCTTCACTGGAGAGGTTAGGAAGAACTGCAGATTTATCAACACATAAACTTCGTTTTTTTGTGTTTTATGTACGTTTTGTTTGTTTCCACACACAAAGAACCACCAAATTTATGTATTGCAGTTATGGCAAGTTGTTGTGTCAAATCTAAGCTAGCAATTATTAAATGAACAATTGAAGGGAGAAGAAGTTGATTTCCTTTTACATCTAAAGAAAACTGCTGACTTCGAAAATGAAAGTTCTTGGAGCCAATACAAGTCCTATCTATATGCCATTATATGTTAAACATGAGTTCTTGAATCAGAGTATTTTTAGGAGTTTTAATTATGTCATGTGGCTTATTGTATATTGAGCATTCAAGTTTCTTTTAATTAGAACTTAAATTTTTTATAATTTATTTCTTTTTTTAAACAATTCTTTAATTTAGTCCTATATTATATGCATTAATATTGAAATTATTTATTCTTTCTTAAATTTATTAAATTTAACATAATCATTTCATATATTTTTTATTTTTTATTTAAAATAATTTAATTTAATAAAATATGTGCAATGTAAGAGAAACTCACTAGTTTATATTAAGAGTAGTTCAAAGATATTTGTTTTGAACGAAATTGCGTCGAAGTTATTTATATTAGAAATTTTTTTTCAATATATAAAAATGAAAGTACTACCAAAGTAAGTTCTCTAAAGATTTGAGCTATCAAATTAATTCTTTTAAGAATTTTAATCATTATCATAATAATCTTTCAAAGCTTTTTCCTCAAACTAGAGTTTTTCAAACCACTTGGTCAAATTTTTTTTTTCCAAAGATTTAACTCATTATTAAGTTAAACTTTGTTTTTTCACTACTTCTTAAGGACTAATATGGTGACATTTTAAAACTTTAAAGGATTAATTAGATGATAAATTAAATACTTAAATAACTAATTTGATGACAAAGTTTTTGAAAGACTAACGTAATACTAATTTAAATTTGTCACAAACTAATTTGGTAGTTTAAATATTTAAAAATCAAATTGGTAACACTTTTATATTTAGAATATCAATTTAACGTTTTTTTTTCTTATCTATATCTTATGTGTTGTAAAGTTTTACATATATATCCACATGTTTTTATAAGAATAAAAATTTAATGGCAAATAGATAGATAAGTTTAAGGTTAATTAAGTTTTGAATCTTTAAAAAATTTTGTTTTTCAAGTTTAGTATTTCATTTTTTTATTATTTTAAATAAGTCTCTAATAAAATATCTTCAATTATAAAATAATCTTCTGTTATTTTTCAATTGATCCCTCTAAATATCTTAATTTTTCATTTAATTTATCATTTTAAGAAGATAAAATGAAAAACTTACGATATTTATATAAATTAAATGAGAAGCTTATAATTTTGGTTAAACTATATAAAAAATCTCATAATATTTAAAGAGACTAAATAAAAGAACACAGAAAAACCATTTAACAATTTTTGTGTGTGTAAAAACTCATTTAAACAATTTAAAAAATTAAATTAAAATGAAAAATTGTTAAAGAATAAAAAAACTTAATTAAAAATTAAATTCATTTAAATTTTGTTAAACTCGTCTCTACTTGAATTCGAACATCCTTATTTCCAACCATACCAAACCTTTGAACGCACAATTTGCTAAATCTTTTGTTTCCCAACAACAACCCCCAACCAAAAATTGAAAGCATCTTCCATATACTTTCTTCATTCTGTTTTGACCTTAAAACTTTCTTCATTCTTGATCGAATTATTTGTAGGTACGTTACATAAATGAAAACGAATGTGATTTAATGGATGCATACATATCCATCAATGTGTTTAATGTAGATGAAAATGAAAATGGTCAAATTCAGTATATGTTTGCTTTGTATAAAAGCACCTGTTAGTATATTCTAGTCTAAACAATCATGTTTACTTTATGTTTCAGCCAAAATGAGAAAGTGTCATATTGAGTGTCTAATAATCTACTCAAATAAATATTTTTGTTAACTTGCAATAAATTTGTCAAAAATAAATAAAAATATCAATTATAACACTATTTCATTATTATCCACATACATAGATAATTCATTCTCTATTAAAAAATTAAACATTATAAAAAAAATATGGCATATTACTGTAAGCATAGTTCAATATTTAAAATGTTCTGTAATTAAAAAAAAAAACATTTTCTTTTGTTGATATTATAAGCATTAGTATAACTAAATTATTTCAATGGGGTTGCCAACATAAAAAAGAGCAGTTGAGAAAATAAATTTTAATGTAGAATATATTAAACAATTTTTAAAAGTTAAGTTCGAGAAGTGATACTTCTAATATTTAGTTTCTAACATTGATTTTATACCTTTCAAAATATTATATTTTAAAAGTAATTGATAATTTACTTTAAAAAATTATTTTCTAACAAGTATTTAATACATTTTGAAACTAAAATTCTGAAATATAAAAAAAATGGTGCTATATAGGACTTAGATTTCCCCAAATGAATAATCTTGAAACTTTGCCAGACTATAAAGAGGTTACTTTTTGCATTCCTTTTTTATTATTCACACTATTATTTTTCACATCATATTTAAAATTAACTTCAAAAATTTAATTTTGAAAGAGTGTTGCATATATTATAAAATTAAATTTTAAAAATAATTTATAATTCACTTCCAAAATTGTAATTGAATTTATTATTAAACAATTTCAAAAAATCAAATTCTGAAAGTGATGTATAAATCTCTTCTAAAATTGAATTTCTTAAAGAGTATCTAATGCATTTCAAAATTAAAATTATAAAACTGATCAAAATTAAAATTAAAATCACCATAGAAACCATATCATGAATGTTTGATTTGTTTTTGTCCAGGCTATACTACATAACAAGACTAAATTTAATTTTCCTTTTGAAATGTCTGATAGTAAAATTGCAGCAAACGTAGAATTAGAGTAAAAAAAAAATACAAACTATAAATTAATCTGTTGAATAAAATATATAACTTGAACCTAAACATTTTTTATGTTAACGTTATGATACACTACTGTTGTTGCTAGAGCCAAAAAAAATAAAAATGATCCTGAATCCTAATTTACAGCAGATATTCTATTTTGATTATGAAAGATTGCGTCATAGTAGAAAAGAGAGCAAAATTATTGGAAATAAATTCTTGATATAAATCACATGAAGCTACGAAATGAGAGCAAAAGATATATAAACAATGCTAGTGAAATAGAGAGGACATTCATTTACCCAGTAACTGATTGGTTACATTTGAATCAATTTGCATATAAGTTGTAACATCGTGATACAGTCTTGCATTTTCTTCCCCTCAATTAGTTGTCATAGATGTTGCTAAATTGGCCTCAAAACTCAACTCTATATTATCAACTTATTTAAATTAAAATGAGGAAAGAAACGCATATGGTATAGCACCTGATAAAGATTCAAAAACAAAGACTCTACTCTACTTTGTTGTGGATTTAAGGTTGAAAATGCCATAAAATTGTGATAACAAAGTAAGCCCACCAAGTTAAAAAAATTTCAAGTGGGCATAAACCCTCTCACCTTCCCTCAAATGACCCTAAAAAACTGCCTCCTGAATCTTTCTTTTAGCTGTCAATGCCTCAACACCTTTAAGGTTGTCAGAGTGAACAAAAATATGTTGAATGTAAAACCACTGACTACACCAAGAGGAATCACTTTCGGTTCAACAAACCCTTCATCAAGAAGATCCCCAAACATCCCACAGCCACTACCACCATAGCACGAGCTCCCGTGGAATCTGATGTTGTTTCTATGGTTTTCCTATTGTTTCTTGTTTGGTGAGACTTCTCCCCCAAGTTTCCCCTCAGAAGATTATTGAGATTGTCCAATTGATGCATGATCTGACGCTGACCACGTGCAATGCCTGATAGCTGATGACACAGAGTAGTCAAGTATATTAATAAGAACTAATGAAGCATTCATTCATAGTCATTATGCACCTTGTTGATTCACATTGTGTACAATTGTACATACATTTACATCATTTCACTGGCTTTATGCTAACAGCCCTGAAATTTTTTCTTTTAACATCATCAAAAGCAAAGAACGAATTCTATTCAACAAAAACCAGAAAACTGAGGCACATCCAACAGAAAAGAACTTGTATCTCAACAACTTATTCAAAACAAATAGTGGATAATTTATAAAACCTGTTGTACATTGCATGGTGATAAAAACATTTAATGGTTGGTGTTGTGTTTCTCCATTTACTAATTTAGTCATATATAGGAAAGCTCTATGGCAAGAAAGAGAAAATTCTGATAGCTTCACTATTGTAACTCAGGTCAAATCAATGCCCTAGAGCTAGATCACAAACAGCATATAATAACTCCATGAAAAGAATGTCAAGTAACATACCACAAATTTACACAACTACAAGAAACGTGGGAAATATTCATAAATTTTTAAGTTTTTTGTAAACCATGACTTTCATTACTCATCACCTTGCCCCTGTGAAGGTTCAAATAAAAGTTTTCACATTTTCTTTTTGTCACTCTTCGTCTTTTATAAGTTTCAAACATTAAGATAAGCATGGAACAACCAAATTATGAATTTAACTAGATGAGATAAATTGAACACGTTTTGTTATTGTTAGAATATACACATGCTTCATATGTTAACTTAAATGCAATTATTGTTCATAGAAATTAGTATTTAGGATGTAGCACACATTTATTCTTAGCCTAGGAAAAGTACTCACTCAGTCTTTATATGTGGATATACCGTATAAGAAACCAATGTTACTCAAGGATGTCCATCCTATGTCTCTCTTTCTCTCTCTCTTTCTCTCTCTCTCTCTCTCTCTCTAAATTCAATAGTTATATCGGAAACCATCTCATATTTCCATCTGAAAAAAAAAAATGCATTTCTCAAAGATTCAACTCAAGTGTAAAAAACATTGGACCTTAAAATACTCTGAAAGTGACATATAAGACTCGGAAAAGATACCTCATCCATTAAAGGAGAATCTTTAGCTAACTGTGATGATGATGTGGAATTTGCCATTTTAGATCCTGTTAGGGAACCATTACCCAAACTAGTGATGAAGTAAGAGGTGGGAGCAGAACCATTGCAAGCCTCAGCTTGAAGTGACATATTTTGTTGGCTTGGAGAATTTTTCTTGATGATTAACTTGGAGTTCAGCTCTTCAATACGATTTGTAAACTCATCCATTCTATCATTGAGAGCAGAAATTTGGTCTGATAACTGACTGATGGCTCCCTACCAAATTTTAGGTAAATGAAGACAAAAGGTAAAAGGTCAATAAAGGAATGGACCAATACAGAAGTGATGATTTGAATGCAATATCTTTACAGGAATTAAAAACTACTGCAATCAACTCATTTTACCTGATTTACTGCCATTGTGGTGGAATCTGAATTCCTATCACCAAAACCATGATTGTTGGCAACATATCCAGTAACCTTGGCTAGATTTTTGTCCCTATGATTGGTATATGACTGTGACATTCCACTGTTGAAAATACAAAATAGTCACATCATTAGGTAACTGCAAAGCAGTTTTCCAAGAAGTACACAAAAGTTTTCTTCAGAAACCTATTCTTGCCCTTCCTAGAATAAGATGATCTCACACACATTCCACACATGTTCCCTCTGTTTGCAAAATCTACTAAAACCTTTCTCAACATTGCAACAAGCATCCAAACGTAGAATAAAGCCATTAAATCTCGGTCAAATGATGTAACTACCCTTAACTCGCTAAAAATCATCTCAGACATCACTAAAATCATCCATGTTGGTTAACTAGTATTGATTTTCTCTCTCAATATAGCACTGATTAATTTCCCCAGTTTAAGTTTCCTTTGAGCTGATCTATCCACATGGGTTGTTATGATATTTTGCAATGACATCAACCAAGCCTTGTCCCAATAGGTAGGGTTGGCTTTGGATTAATCGTTATTGATAAATTTTATCAAAAATCAATTTTTAGTAAAACCTATTAGAGCAAAGTCTTTTAAGTGGCTTCTCCTGATTTATTTAGATGGAAAATGTTTACCTCCTCAGATGTTTATTTCTCATGGCAACTCTGTCAGCAGAGGCTCTAGAAAGTGCTTCTTTGGGGCTTGACACCAAATCCTCATCTAAGCTGAGCTTGGTCTTCAAATCATCTGGTAGGGCCTGTGGAACCATTAGACAGAATATAGGAATACATATTAGCAGATAGTAAGCTGTCATATGGTCATACCATAACCTCATTCACAAGCTTTTCAAGTTGAATTTGCTCAATGTAGGTACGAGGAATGTAGGAACCTTCTAGGCCCAGCTGCTGCCCTATATATTGTACAACTAAGCGATCTCTTCCTTGTACCTGTCTCAAGAAGTACCAAAGTCCAAACAAATCGGTGAAATAGCAATGTTTACTATCAAGATCAACCAAAAAATCACAAATAGAAAACCAATAGAAATATAATAGTACAAAATATTTAACCCGTTGTTCTTAAATGAAAAACAAAACTTTTACCAGAAGCAATCTAAGTCAACATCGAGCAATTTTATTTGAAGTTTGAAACCAAACAGCTTTGCTTTATTTTACAATTTTGTTATAAAAATGTGCCTTAAAAGTATTTATCATTGAGAAATAGATTGATATATGTACAAAAATGAAAAAAAATAAACAAGCAGAGATTGACGGACTCCCATAAGTTCCAAAAATCAAGCTAGTTTGACGTGTGCAATACTGCAATCAAAACATGTGATGGATGAATAGAAATGCATGTGTAAACAAGAAAGCTGAAATACCAAAGAAATTTCAACAAAAACGGAGAATTCCTTACATGCAGTTGACAGTAGTAAGATAGTAAGTATTTTATGCTTAATCTAGCATTACCTGAACATAATGTCGATTAAGTTGCTCAAGCCAATCTAGTTTAACACAAATCCTATCATCAGAAAGGACATGGCTGTTTCTCTTAAGGATAGTAGCTATTGTGTATCCCAAGGCCATTAGTCCACCCAGAAGGCGCACACTGACCTCAAAAGTAATTCTTGGTGATATGACGAATGGATTGTCTGTCACCCATTCCTAAAATGTGTCATGAGATCAATTAGTTAACACTCTAAAAGGTACATTCTCCATGAATCTATGGAGAATCGTAAAAATAGAAATAATAAGTAGAATGAAAAAGATATGAGATCTTAATAGCATATCAAACCAGTGAAATATCTATTATCATGGTCCAAAATAAAAGAAAAAGGAAGTCACTAACCAACATACTAAGAGCCTTTAAAATTCTAAACTAAAATGAAAAACCAATCTTCCATTAAAAGTCCATAAAAGTATTTCTACGACGAACTTGTAGCATAATAATACCAAAATTGGAGAAACAGAAGAATTGAAAATGTTCAAGCTTCATAGCCTAATTCCAAACAACTGTCATTCTTACCACTTGGGGTTTTCGAGAGACACTATTCTCTCCCAATGCCTAAACTCCAAAGGCTCTAATCCTTTCACAAATGGCAAGATATACCACTCTTAATCTCTCATCTTATTTATAGGCAACGTGCCGTATTCAAACCATATCTCCTAACTAACTAATCTATTTTAACTAATTACTAACAGGGATTACCTAACATTCTATCTGCTGGCCTGGGTAGCATTGTGACTATAAACAGAAAGTAGGACCAATTGATGGAAACCAGAGGAAAAATATGGAATATTATTGAATCACACAAGAAAACGGTGAATACAATCACTCCAGAGTTGACAGCTCCTACAGAAGTTCCAATGCAAAGAATTCTGTTCTCTAACAGAAAAACAAACTTCTACCCTCCCCACTACTACCTCTCCCTCTCATCCATCCTAACTTCAAACATGTGTGCCCAATTCCACTTCTGCCCCTGCACTCTATCTTCTCACATATACCCTCCACACTTTGGGCATATCACTTGGATCCAATAACTGATCCATTCCTGCAAGCTTATCACTTGAATCATTAGGACCCACAACCCCATCATATCTTACTAGGTTGGACTTGTATTAGTTGTACTACACTAGTACTTGACCTAATACATGTTATGCAGTTATGATTTCTATCTAAACACAGCATATCCATATCAATTCTCAATCAATTATTCAACGTCCTATTTATCTTTATCCCATATTTTGATTGGACTATGTCCTTATAAGTAAATCTAATATCACATATTGAATAGAAAACCAAGTCACTACAAAATATAACATATAGCAAGGCAGCAAACCTCAAACATGAGACTATATTTCCCATCCTTATTTCGCATCCGTAAATATGATTGGCAAGTTTCTGGATCTTCACCAGGTGGTAGAAGATATATGTCATAAGTTTGCTCTGTTGTTTCCTTAAAATCCTCAGAGAGAACAGCTTTAATTTGATCCGCTGTGACATTCCTTGCTGACTAGAACAGTTATACAATGGATTACATATTTTTATGAAGACATTATCGCATATAAGCATCAGAACAGCAGAACTGTCATTTGACATTTACACAAGTGTAGTCAAAATAATGAGTTATGTTGACACTAACCTTTAGAATGTAAGTAGGGCTCTGGAATCCAGTAAATGGATTAAATTTGTTGATGATTTTTATATGTGCTGTCTGGAGATCTGGCTCAATAAAGGCCTTATACATTGGATACACCTGAAAAAGTTTAAACTTTCTTTAACACTTGAAACAGTTATTTTCCAAATCTGTATACAAACATGAAGGGAACTATAAAAGTATCAACCGTCTCAGATATTTGATGAATAATTTCTTCAGGTTCTTGACCAGCACGCTGTATGTCACGTATAACTCGTTTTACAAGGTCAAGGTGAACTCCTCCCGTGACAGAGACTCGAAGGTCCAGTAAAGGTCGCAACTTCTCACTCAAGGCATAGATGCCTTCTATAATCACTATACGAGAACTTGGGGATTCTACTGTCCTGTAAGCAGGGATATTTATAATATGAAATTGAACGCATACTAACCAAATAAAGTAACAGAGTATTCTAAATAAATTGAACTAACTTTTAATTGATTTAGTTTCAAAGTTTAGATTTACAAGTTTACATTGTAATTGCTGAGATCAGAAGATCAAACAGAAATTGAAAGCCAACAATATGACACACCTGTATGCGGCTCCATCCCTACACCTATAGCTGCTGATTGCAAATTATTACCCAAATATACATATTTTACTGATTTTATCTCTTTTATTTTCTTCAAAATATTCTTCCCTAATCACTGCCCTGAGACAATAATTCGCCAACTCTTCAAAATATGCCAATTTCACAGTTACTCAAGATGGCATAAAACATAACCTGTATCCTGTACGTGAACTGGACTTGAAATCATATATAGGAACCTCAACCGGCTTTCCTTCCTTCAAATCATGTAGATTCTGGAGCAATGTGTCATAGTCTGTTAAGCGTGGATCTGTACAAAGGGATATCAGAGTTGACAAGAGATTGATGTTCTTACTTAAAACTGTTAGCCTATGTTTAAATTTCATCATAACCAAAGTATAAATCTGATACCCCAAACGTTTAATTTTGTGCATCTCTACACATGAGAAGTACAATTTTAGGCATGCATATTAGCTCACCTCCACCAAATGAAATTGCACAAATAATTGGATTTCAAATGAAGCCTTAAGAAATCTCCAGGTACACATACCTCACTGAGGCAGAAAACAGGATGAAGGGTAAAAAGACAAAAAATCAAATTTTCATATTTGGTCTGAACTCAATAACATGCATTATGCCATCTTAATAACACTTCATTTTCTGCTTATTGGGAGCTACTGCAAGAATTCGGTAATTTATTTTAATTTGATTTTCAGTTATCCACCATTGAGTCTTTTGTAAGAAAAAATTCCATCCTTAACATTCTCAGCACCTACTTAGCATAGGGATCTCTTTTACTCAGCGCCTTACCATTGTATAAGTGGAATTAACATCTCAGTAGAATATGACATGATTTAAATTGTGCCAGTATCACCATACAGCCGAGTCAGAGGTCCATAAGCATATATCACAAAATATACATATCATTATTCAGAGGCCATCCAAAATCATTTTATTCCATAACTAAAATGTTTATTAGGGAGAAGCACAGCAGAGATGAGCTATGCCACCCTGCCCTGCCCTCAGGAGAATTGTGTTTAATCATGCCATGCAGCCGACATCCTGATAATGCACCATAGAAAGAATGATAAAAGCATTGCTAAAAAAAGGCCAGATGATGATTTACCATCAAAGTTTCCATCAACAATTCGACTAGCATCATTGTAATTATCCATTGAAATGACTGCAACGCTGGGTATGAAGTTGAGTATCTTTTCAGTAAATACAGTCTTCCCTGCCCCTGAAGGTCCGGCCACCCCTACCAATATTATTCCATCATTCTTTTGGGCTAACAATTGGCATGCACGAATTACTATAAAAAAACCCTTCTCAAACGATAGTTGGTCAAGGATTGGAGCAATCTCATAGCGATTAGAGTCTCTCCTTTTAACCAAGTTAACTTGATCTTTTAAAAGACCAAGACGTCTATTGTGGGAATCGGAATCAGAATTATCTTTTGCCATTGAACAACTCCCGATTTCTGTTCAAGAGGGGTAAAAAAAGAAAATCACTGTCAAATAATACATAAGCAAATAAATGAACATGGCCTAACACCCATGTAAGACCCACAGTCATTTGTTTGTATGGGCACAAACATACAACATAGGATTATAGCTTCTTAAACAGTGTTAGTTTTTCTGACATAAATCAAGAAAGTAGCCTTAGTATTCTTACTATCTTTTTTTCAGTACACATAAATTTAAACACATCTGCAGTTCTCATTTAAGCCATCCTACTGTAAAGACTAAAGAGGTAGAAGTTATCTATGTAATGAATAATTAAAGAAATTATACTTTTGTTTCATTATGTACAACCTATAAACTAGTTATACCCTAGGCAGAACATCAAGTTTGTAAGAAACTGCATATGTAAAAACTTGGAATTAAAAGCACTAATAAGTTGTGTTGACAAATATCCCCAATACAGAATCATTGAAGCCCTTGCTGGTTAACTCACATTAGAGCTAACCAAGAAATCTCAGTTGTGCAGCCAAACACAAAGGAGTTGGCTCCTCTGAAGAAGGGAGGAGAGGGTGCACTTTAGAAAGAAAAGTGCAGTTTTAACTGTTGATTGAAATGAACAGTTATAATTCCACACACATTCTCTCTCTAGAGTGTAACTCTCACTTTAAAGGAGCTAAATTCAACCAGAAAATATCTTGTTTTTAATGGAAGATCTTATGGGCTCAGAGGGTGAAATTTAAATTTCATGTTTAGAACTTGTCACAGAAACAGTAGACACTAATGCACACACGTACATAAATTATTTTTTTTTTATGTGATTGTGAGCGGATAGCTTTCTGGTATCACTATTATCACGCTTCCAACATCACACACAACACTATTTATGTATCCACCTAAAACTGAAATTGTTCCTCAAAAACTAAAAAACAAAACCCTGAACTAAACTTTTAAGAGCGTGAAAGGGATCACCCAGATAACAAAATTAAGAGAGAGTGATATTAAAATGAAAAACAGAAAAAACACAACTCAGAAACAAACATTCCACAAAAGCAAAACCGACAAAAGGCCTTTAAAAACTGTGTTCCCACAAGCACCCCGGATCCAAAATCAACGACGAAATTTCCAAACTTTGACACACAAACAAGAATACCCAGAAGCAAATGCGCATCAAAATTGATCCAATGTGCACACTTGCGGTGATCAGAACACTCACCGAGGGTCCCTCAACGAGCAGTTACAGTGAGTTCAGCAATAAAAACAATCACAACCCGGAAGAGAAGCCATAATCTCAAGGTCGGTTCTGCAATATGAGTATATATAAATATTTGTTAATATTAATTAATATTATTTCTTTCTTGTTGCAACCCTTTTCCCCGAAATCAAAGGAATGTGATTTTTCGGGATATTTTGGGATGTGGGAATTCTAGAGAATCAGGAAACGCTCTAGACAGAACAAAAAAAAATCCAATATAGAGAGAAAGAACCTCTTCAAAACAATAGAGAAAAATAGAAACAGAATAAAAGAAATAAAATTTATGGTATATTATCATATCACATTAATAATATTCAAATGGGGTTTCGCTTTCCTTTCTCAGTCAACAATTCACAGGTGAAGTTTCGGTATCGCTTGCGAACTTTCACACATTTATATTAACATTGCCAAGTGAAGGGAGTGGATGGTACTCCATCCAATTCGAAATATGGATTTAGCCAAATTTGTTTCCCACTATCTTGTTTGTCAATTTTAGATTATTTATTTATTTATTTTGGATGCCCGAGCATTTGAAATAGTCATGCTTGCAATCTGTACTGTATGATTTAGAGGTATTATTTAATGAATTAAAAATAAAGTTTTGTTAAAAATATACTAATATTTTTAAATATATTTCTTAATAATTATTTTTTTAAGTAATTATAAAAGATTGATAATTGGTAATGTGTCATTTCATTATTCAATCATGATACGAGTAATTTTTCACTTTTTGTAATTTTATTCAACCAGTGTTATTAGAAATTAGATTATTTTTCTTGAAAAATCATATATAGCACTAGATGTATTTTCTTAATTTATTTATCGTACAAAATTTATATAGATAAATTGCATGAGACAAAAGTTGACACATGATTATTAAAATATAGAGTAAAATTATATTTAATAAAATTAGTTGTATAATTAGTTAAAAAGAGTTAAATGATTAAAAAATGGTAAGATTATTTTATGTATATGTAAATTGTTTAAAAAGTTAAGCGTGAAAATTAAAGTATATATATATATATATTAAAAATTAACTTTCAATAAGCTGGTATTTACTTGTTTGGTGAAAAATATTATATTACAATAAAACAAGTGTAAAATAAAATTTATGTGTTTGAACGTTTTGTTTTATATGAGTACAAAAATAATATTTTTTATGGGATTCACTAAAACATTTTTTCACATAAAATGGTACGATTGTGTGGAAAAGATTGTGACATATTTTATTAAAAATAATTTTTAAATAATATAAATTTTTTTAAGAATATATTATAATTTTAAAATGTTTTGTTAAAATAAAATTTTTATTTCTATTATAAAATGTTTTTATATAAATAATAATTATTTTTACTCATTTTTTTATTCATCTAAATAAGTAACATTTATTTTCTTTCTTCTTGAAGTAACTTTTCAAAAGTATAAGCTCTTTTTATTTTTATTTTTTATGAAATAAATGTATTAGTTTATTAATAAAAAATAAGCTATGAGATCCTAGATAAGATATAAATTTGTGCTACTAAATATACTCTAAATAAATAAACAAAAATAAAAGGAAAAAACTACAATCTCCAAATTTTTCTACCAAAAAATATATATGCTAAATATAAATTATTTTGAAAGAGAATAAAATTTGACTAATTGTAAGCCTTAATTTGTTCTAATGATCATTTTAAATATGTTTAATTTGTTCTAATAAAAAATTATATATATATATATATATATATATATATATAAAACAATGCATATTAAATATATTTTTATGTTAAATTTGGGTATTAATCATAATGGAACAAACATGTTCTCTTTTATCAATATTTTCTCATGTTCTAAATTTCTTTAGTTAAGGTAGGTGAATCTTTATTTAAATCTTATGTAATCTTCTTTATGCAATCTTAATTCAGTGTTTCAATTACATTTTTTAATTCATTTCTTAACGCTCCTTTGAATTGGTTGTTCAAATGGATGAATTTAAATGTCTCAAGTTATTCGTTGATTAAAGAGACTTGATTATAAATTCAGTGTGTATATATATATATATATATAGTACTCCTCTCCCCTTCTGGGCACATGAATCCATTCTTTTTGGCACCTTCATATTTTCCTTAGTCATGTTTCATGTTGTGAAGCTCTTTTAAGTTACAGATTGATTGTAACCTCAAAGTAATCATAAGATTATGCTGTATGTCCCATCATTTTTTAACTGAATTTCATACTATTCTATATGTTTTAACATATTCCCTAACAGGTAGGGTTTGATCTAAGTATCTTTTTCACCCCTATTCTTACATGAAAGTCATGCAAGGATCCATGGTCTAAGTTTATTTAGTTCTAAATATCTCTGTTTAGGGCCACTCATTATCATCTGAAATAGGTATAGACATCGCAAAGTGCTTTTATTGAACACTTATGTTTAATTGCGAAATTTTCCTATTAAGCTGAAGGTTCCACGTTGAAGCCAAACAAATATAATAGTCATTTACGAAAACACCATATCCCTTCCTTTTTATATTTCTATTGTATGTATATGTTTGTAGATTATTTTAGTTTTGAGTTTTATCTATTACATAGTTAGCTATTGTTTTTATTAGTTGTTTATCTTTCTCATGTTTCTCATTACAGGTGCATAAGCTTTTCAAGCAATTTGAATAAACCCTTTCAAGTCTTTTTTCTTTTTTATCAACATTTCCTTTAATTAGTTCCGGCTTTATCTAATGCTGAATTATAATTAGTATATATATATATATCATCCTTTAATAATCTAATCTTGTTTAACTTAATCTCCAAATTCTTAAGCTAACTATTCCCTTCAAATTTAATAAGACTTCACTATCTAAAAATTATCCTTTTAATTCCCAACTAAAATCTCACAAGTCTCTCTTAAATTGTCCTCTACATATAAAACACTAATTTTATAAATAAATATTTAAAATATTACATTATTACATGCATACAATCCCATAGAGAATTGATTATAAAATATTCAAAGTTTCATTTTTTCATATATCTATATAAAAACAGTAATAACACACTCTTTCTAACTTATAATTAAGTAAATTATATGTTTATTCTATACAATTACAAGTGTCCATTTTCTATGTTGTGATCACTTCATGAAGTCCATCTAATAATACGATACAAGCTGAAAAAAAGTATTTTTTTAAAAAAAGTTTTAATATTAATATTGCACAATGAGAAACTAAATCCATATTAAAGGTTAACCTTTGACTAGGTTTGCATCAATCTCTCTAACGATATTAATGATAAACTTTTGATATTTCTTTGGAGGAGGGATCTTGTTATTGGGCTTCTCGTATTCTAATCTCAATTTCAATGCTCCATTCTCAACCTTCAGGATGGCCTTGTAGCTTTTGTACAAGTCCAATGCACTCCCTCCCACAGCAACGTAAGTTATTGTCTTGTTGGCTTCATCTAGCTCAACCCTTTCCTTAAATATCTCTTCTTTTCCTTCTAAGATGAGTAAACAATGAAGAAAATTATAATCACTTTTAGAATGGAGTAAATATTGATGGGAGTTAAACTGACCTAACATCATGAGCCATTTTATTTTATCCCTATCTAGAAGCTAATGGCTTAAAGGTTTTCTTCATAACTATTTTTATATATAATACAGGAAAAATTCAAATAATTCTTAGTTTGACAAATTCAAATTCACTTGTGAACAAAATATCTAGACATGCATATCCTCTTATGCACAAAACTAAATTTCATGACTATACCAAAAAAAACCTAAATTTCATGAATATTCTTCAAGACATATGACAACATACATAAGTTTCAAATTAATTCATGTTATTTATTTCCTTTAAATTAAAATAAGAAATCTTTTCAATTTTTAAAAAAATGTAAAATAGACCAATTAAAAATAATCGTGTTTTATCAATAAAAAATTGTCATATTCTGAATGGTTTTGTTAATTTATCCACGGAAAAGATTTATTACAAGTTTTTGAAAGTTTTAGGATCCTTTTTATCTCAATTTGGAATTTCTTTTATAGGTTTAATTGTGATAAAAACGTTTTCGTACTTGTGCTTTTTTTTCTTTCACATGTTATCTAACATAAATAAAAGGAAAATGAAATACAGAAGATAAAAAATGCATACGTACGCAGTAATAATAATAATAATAATAATAATACCTATACTATACTTCCAAAGCTTTACAGACCCAGGAGTGTCCCAGTCACCTTGATGAATCTCAACACCATGCAAGTTTTCAGTGTGTACATTCTTTGGAATGTTTTGGTTTTGGCTCTTGAGGAAGCTATAGAACGTTTCAGGACATGATTTGAGTTGCACTCTATCCTCAAGGACACAAATTTGAGCCATGACTTCAAATAAAATTTTTAAAATTTGTGCACAGACTACTCACCAATTCCACTGAAAAATTCTACACGAGCTCAAGTTGTGGAATTCTTTCTAATCTGCCGCATATATATAGAGAAGTTGTTGAGAATATTACTGTTTCTTTTATTATTTATATTTGCGGATGAGCTCTTATACCAACACATGCACACAAGTTGATCTGGAATATATTCTAATATGCACCATGCACTTATAGAAATGACTTTACTAGAATTAAAATATCCCTATGTTAGCAGTTGTATAACCAATGATTATATTACTGCTAATAAAATTTAAGAATGTAAGTTAGCAGTTCCAAAATGAAAATAAATATGACACCTATGCAAGTTTGGGCAGGGTGTTATAATATTTATTCTGGTACTCATGCTAAAAAAAATTAAAGTACCCGTCCGTGGATTCATACCCATATATAGATAGTGACTACAGTGTCCATCCTCATATTCTATGCATATTTAGGTACACATACTCAGACTCATTACTTGCATTTTACTAAAACAAAGATGTTGTTTCATAATTTAATTATAAAGATGAAGCTATAAGATGGTTGATTAGCTATACTCCTGAATTAATGAACTTGAAAAATAACCTTAAAATGGAGGTGTTACATTGTTACAAAGACAAAGATGTTAGATAATGACAATAAGAAATAAAAAGTTTTCGATTTGAAATAAGAATATTATCATTATTACATGTAAAAATTTCTCTACTTTTACACGCGTGTAGTTTCAGTCAATCATATAACATGGATGTACATTGGGCCGTCCCTAGATACCGATTAGTAACACTTAAGAGTTAAATATTTAGTTAGGTAGTTCGGTATATAATGAAAGCACTGGCAAACTCTTGAAAAGGCAATGCAATTTTGCATTTTGATATAATTAGTTGTTAAAGTAGTATGTGCTTGGAGATGTTACATGCATTACCACCACCATCTCAAGCATTTTTCCTTTTCAGATTCGGGTTAGGATAAAGATGTTGCCAATAATATGGTTCTACGGATTCACATAGCAAAAAAGTGGGAATCATGATTTAAATTCTTAGAAAATGCACGGTAGAACCATATTAATGTCAAATCAATCTATAAGGCTGATTTTAAATAATTAAAAATAATAGTTTTTATTAAAAAAATATTTGTTACATCGAGAATACAAGTGTAATCAAATAATTACTAGTAAATGCTTAGAACAATTCTAAGAACTAACATTAACAATACCGTATTTTAAGTTATATAATATAGGATACGATCCCCATGCATCACAGGGAGAAAGAGAGAACAAAATGGAGCATAAAGGTGTAACTATGGTTCAACCTTTAACTTGATTCCAACAGCACAAGCAAGTGGGAAAATTTATGAATTGACAAAAAGTTTATATTTGACATATGCTTTCGCATACCATTTTTAGCTTGGAATCGCTCTTTATTTATTAGGAGTCTAACACATTTATGGGGTATAGAGGAGCTTTGTTCTTTTAATACAGTTTCTTACATACACTTAAAACTCCATCTAAACTTTTAACATTCAACGGGGTGAAACATCTTGACACACACTGATATTAGTCTAATTCTAATTTTTTAATCTTTGTTTTTCCTTTTAAGGAAACAGTAAATAGAGGACTTGAGTTTCCAAATGATCCCCTACAACATAATGATATCAAGTTTTCAGGATGAAGTCTTAAGATAAAACTCAATTTTCCACAATATTAGTACGTTTTACTCGTGTTTTGTCACCCTTGCAAATGTTTATTATACCACCAATTTTTCTCACTCAATTTGTCAATCATAAAATATCTTTACGTCTTTTGAATTTGGATCAAAATTTCATTCTAAATATTAATGTTGTGATGGTCACAGGTACTTTAAATGAGACTTGAACCTTTTTCTTGCTCCAATTAGAATAGTTATTATACTTCAGCATGTATTCTTTTTGGTAGAGATTGTATTTAGATGAATATGGGAATTAGCTTTAAGAGAAGGGATTTGGTTGTATGCCATCCGGAAAGGACCAAAATAAAACAAAATGTTAAAGAATTATGTAAAATTCAAAGACTGAAATACTATTTTTTTTTTATTTAATGACTTCTATATTTATAGAAGCTAACTTCTTTTATATATCTTAAGATTATTTTTTAATCAAGAGTCAAAAGACTAATTTCTTTTAAATGAATAAAGTAAATCAATAGAGATTGGTTGAGTAGCATACAGCTCGATAACCTTTAAATAAAGTCTCAAATTCAAGTATTTGTGTATGCAAAAAATTTCTAGTGATAGACTCAACTACTATATCTAGATACGCGACTTGAGTGGATTAAACTGAATTTTGTGAAACTTATATACAAAAATTATATAATTGACTCCAACCAAAAATACAACAAGAGTTTTGGCTTTAAACAAAGTATTCAACTAAAAACTACAACTGCCTTAAATGAAAGAATGTGGCAGACATTCACAACAAAACAAAAAAATAAGGGTCACGAAACTCTTGTTTTATTACATGCAATATTCGTTTTAGATTGGGTAATATATACATAAATAATGAGATTATATTTTATGAAAACAACTTATAATTTTTATGAAAACTCTTGCTGGTTCATTTTTAATGTCTAATTTAATGAAGGCTTAAATAAACTTTTGATCCTCCAAATCCAAAAATTCATAATTTTCTCAGTTTGCCCTTTTTTTTATAAAAAATTTGGCCCTCCAAAATTTGTTCATCATTCATATCTGATTCCTTTGTTATTAATCCCTTAACTTGCTCTATTATTTGCTTACCTAACAACCTAGTTAACTTTACAATATGACTGCGTGATATAAATCAATTTGTCACTAACATCATCTCCTTCGTATCTCTAAATGAAATCTTTAGGTTATAGGGCTAAGGTTCGTGAAATTGAAATTTAGAAATATGGAAGCGACAGAAATATAACTGTCACATCATTTACATCTATTTTAACTCATATTATGAGTTACGTCAGATGCCACGTAGACCAATAACAAAGAAAATTTACGAATCACTGCCAGAGTGACCATAAGGGAACCAAAAAAGATTTATGGAGGACTTGTTCAGAAAAAAATTAAAAAGGAAGGACCAAATAGGAAAGTTAAGAATTTTTTTAGGACCAGAACCTTAATTAAGCCTTTAACGGATATCTTAATTACCCAACCTGAGTATAATGCTCAAGTCACCGAATTAAAAGGAAGGAGCGAGTACAGGCAGAGAAAAAAATAATGCCTAGCAAGGCTCAAGGACTACAGCATTCTTCAACAAAAGATTGATTTTGAACTAAAACAATAAGAACACCTTATAAAAGTTAATAAGAAATATATACAGGAAGGTTATTAGTGACACAATTACTTGAAAAAGTCAGAAGCATCCTTTCTTGATCTAAGGATTACTGTGGATGTAGACAAATCATTCTTCTTGTCAGAAACCATAAGGTTGTCACCTTTATTACCTCGTAGTTGTTCTTTGTCAGAATCACTCGAGATACCAAATATCTGCACTGTTAAGCTCCCCCCTACAATAATATAATAATATTTAACATAAAACAAAATTAAAATGAAAAAATCAAAATTTGGCATGTTGGAAATTGCCATCCTATGACCATATAGATATAGTTGCAGCAAAAGCATTACAGATTCAATATGTTCTATAGCTTTCAGCATGTGTATTACTAATCTCTGAAGTGTTCGAGCTATATGAAGGTTCATGTGATGTGAGTATATGCAAAAAATGATCGTGAACAGAAGTAAGCATTTTGGCATGAACTTTTCGTACTATATAGTACTACTGCCAAGTCGCATGACAATTCATAATGAACTACGCTCATGTCAAATTTGTAGGCTCTAGAGAAGTGACATTGATCAGTTGAAAAGAAAAACCCAGAGTTGTGTTTGTGCCCACAGAATTGCAGCACTAATATTACTCATTCAAAAAGATGTGACCCAAGGCTCCCACCTGGTAGGGTCATCAGGGGAGGGTAGAAGTAAGCATTCAAAATATCTGGTCAAAGTGTAGGTCAGAATAAAAGGAGCAGAAAGTAGTAAATAATGTGACATGCATGTCTAAACTATCATACCTAGCACAAGGGCAGCACCAATCCATCCTGTGGGACCCCATCTTTCACCAAGAAGAAACCATGCAAAACCAGCACCCCAGACTGGCTCCAGACCATAAATTATAGCAGTTTCTGTGGCTGATATATCACACATTGCAGCCATCTGCATTGAATCCAAGAAATCTCTCAGAAAAATGAATCTTCTAAAATATAAATATGGTTTCAAGGAAACATGGAAAAAGAATTAAAAGCTAAAGGCTATTATGCTAATGTAAAATTTACAATTTTGGAAAAAAAGTTTTCTAAGAGAATGAAGCCAAATACATAGGACAATAAAATAATCTCAAAGAAGATTTCAAGCAACACGGTGAAAAATAATAAATATTAGAACACTTGAAAGCTGGATGATCCATTTGCAAATCCATAATGCTATGCGAAAATTTGAGTGATTAGTAATCAAGGGAAAGGGATGAAGGGGTGGTAAATTTCACCTGTTTAGACCTTTTTTATGTAAGAAAACGAGGGGAATTCTTTCCAATGCTATGTCTAGGAGTTAAAGTTATAGTAGAGGAGATGATGGTTAATTAATGACTACAGTCATCAATCTCAAGTATCTGAACACCTTACAACACTTTAAGACGAGTATAAAAAAAAAAATCAAATACAAACTTAGTTTCTGACTAGTGCAGCTTAAAACAAAGGGCTTTGAAACAAATATATAACCTACGTCTTCCTCTTTTTTCATGAAGTTGGATAATGTGAAACTTGTTCCGGGATGTTTTATTTCAACTAATTCCAACACTAATAAGTCTACTATGTCTGATTAATCTACCCATATTCCTATCTCTTACAGAATTTTTGATAATCCTATAATTACCTTGAAAATAGAAAGAATTATCTTGCCTAGTTAGCATCAATTGAACTTTGGTCTCTTACATGATAAATTTCAGATTATTTGAAAAAATTTGCTAAAAAATTCCCCGCAGAGAATTAATGTTAGTGGGAGAAACTTGATGTGTGATTTGTCATGTAATCAGTTGATTCAACCATTTTGGTAAATTTCAAAACTTTGAAAACATGTCATAAATTTTGGCAGATGTGGCTCTAAGTCTGTGTGGCATCAATATTTAGCCTCAAATATATCATGATATGACCTCTCTTATCACTAAAGGCTAGTGCTATTAAGTATGTTTTTCTTGAATATTCCACATTTCAAAGAAGGATACCAACATTACTCTCCCAATACTAGTTGTTACTATGTCTGCAAATGCCATTTTTTTTATCTTTGAGAAACTTCATTTTTTAATCCTTCAATTGAATCTTTGTTTCATAAGTTTTTCTTGATCCCAATTTTTGTCCTTCAACTTCATTAGAGGAACTTTCACCAGACACTTCAACTGTCTTTGCAGAAGAAATTCCTGATGTTCCTTCATCTAATCAATTTCAACCACCCCTCATTACCAATCAACAATGACCGCAAATTACCATACCTAAATTGGTGGAGAATGAATCTCATGAACCTACCATGGACCTGTCAATGATGATTTTCCCATTAATGGTATTAGGGAATCTAGGAACCCTCATCTGAGCTATTTCGTTAGTTTTCATAACTTATCTCATCATATGTTGCAATTGTTTCTTCACTGTCCTCTATTTTAATTCCCAAAAGTATTATTCAGGCACTTTCATGTGCAAGATAAATACAAGTTGTGACTAATGAGATGTTGGCACTTGAGCAAAGTGGCACATGGGTTGTGGTGGTCCGCCTTCCTCCAAGAAAGTGAATTGTTGGTTATCATTGGGTGTATGTGATCAAAATATGAAAAGAAGACTAAATGGGAAAATTGACATCCTTAAAACACATTTTGTTGCAGTTTTGATTATGGTGATGCTTTTTCTACTCTGACTAAAAACTAGTATAGTATGCATACAATTTATACAAACCACTAACACTAAGCTCGTGATTTTAATCATGAAAACATCTATAAGTCTAAGCTATTTCGAGATCTCCACACATACATAAATATTATCCAATGGACCAATTTATTAATGTATATAACAGGGGCAAAGATAACTTATGACCCAAGAGCTTCAGAAATATGATTCTGCCCTAATATGTTTAGATTATCGACTTATTGTTCTTGTCATGGCATAATATAAAACACATTCTGAAGTTCACCAATGTTGTTCCTTTAGAAAAATGGAATCATGAAATTAGAAACTCTTGTAATTCAATCCTAAATTCAAAATCCAGGCATCAATTACAGATCATGGAGAATGAAGAATTCTTGAAAGGGGGTTTGTTTACTATTTTCATTTTAAGTTGATATGTTTTTTTGATAATTACAAAAATGTCACATGTTTTTCATTCTTGTTTTCAAAATTTTGCAAAGGAAGTGGAGAAAATGAATTTTTTAACACCATTAAAATGAAAACAAAAAAGACACTGAAGTCTAAACATATCCTAACTGTGCCAAGTATGATAACTTTACCTCTACCCACAAGCATAAACCAGTTGAGAATATTCCTGTATAAATGGCAGGCATCCATGGAAAACCAACCAGCCAGTCCCTAAGCATTTTCCATGTCAAAAATGATGGCAAGGGATGTTGAGCACCATTAATGCATTCTCCAAGAAGATACCATATTGCAGAAAACAAAGCAACAATGCAAATCTGCATTTAAAATTTTGATAAATTAAATAATACCAAAGGTTAATTAGAATGGACTTGTTTTGGTAAACAGAAATGTATACATAATGGTGCATGGACAAGTTACTAACCTCATATCCTAGGAGGGGCAGAAACTTCTCTTTACTAATGTTTCTGGATATATGTTCAGTTCTTAACATATGTATGCCAAAAAACACTGCACTTAAAAAGTTCAGAAGATCTCCAACCTGAATTTGGCAAAACATTTAAGCGAGTTATAGGATAACAAAAGATGACTATCAACAAAGGGATAAGCATTCAGCTAGTGTTTATCCATAGTCCTTTGTCACATATCCTATGATAGGTTCTCATAACACAATGAAAAAAGAAGGGAAACAACTAGGAGCAAGCTCTAAATATAGTATTTTTAATTCAAATGTAGAAACAAATGAAAGCAAAAGAAGGAAATATCAGGGAAGCAAAATGCTGTCTCTGCCCTATGGTTTCAGCCACCCAAATCTATCCAAATGATCAAATACCCTCACCCCTCCATCACTCCCCAGTCCATTCCCTCCATATTCATGTTCTCTTCCACGATTCCAACACCCTCTACAACAACTCCCTGATGTCAAGTGTCCATTTGGCTAGAGTCACCTTTCTACAGCATACATGAATTGGAGGCCAATAATTTGGAGGTCCATCCTATCATAAAAATGAGGATCAAACTTACACATGGCGGTGAACCACTGGATTCCAGCATTCCAACTCCAACAATGGACATGAGAGCACCAAACCAGGTTCTAGTGGGAACTACAGCTCCAAACAGGCCATCAAGCAATGGAACCACAATTACCTGTTGTTTCACCCCAATATTCAAGATTGTATTTGTTTCAAATGCTTTCATGAAGGAAAGTCATACAAAATTCAATTATCTTACAGTGAACATAGATAAAAATGATGCACGACCAGCATCAGAGGTTTGTAGTCCAAGTGCTTGCATAAGATACCCCAGACTGACCCAAAAGCCCAACTCTATGCCGGCATTTCTGGTACAAGAATCACCCCATCCTCGCAATACAAATGGGATGAAAGGAATGGCAGAAAGGGCAAAGCGTACAAATGTGAAAGCTGCTGGATTCATAATTGCCTGAACCTCTTTGACAACTGGAATGTTACTAGCTAGACATAAATTGATGAGGAAATAGTAAGATCGTGAAGTATACAGAGGTACATTGGTCATTCCAAAAACAAGTTTCTGCACTCAAAATATCTATTAATAGCAATTGCCAGCAAAGCAAGAAATGTAATTGCAAATATACAAATCTGCATGAAACACTCAGGAACAGAAAATAATTTTTGAAAATACTACTTTACTTATCAGTTCAAGCTTATGTCCTTGTCTGTGTATGATAAAAATAAAAAATCCTACAAGGGATAATAAGCGCAACCAGTCACTTAGCTTGTAATTTGCCTGTTTTATTTAAAGTTTCAGTTGATACTTCTATAATTTTTCATGATTTCCTCTTGTAGAAATTCATACAGCAAGACTAATCCATATATTGTTCAAAATATGACAGTGTTCAGACCACAAAGATAAAAGCTTCCCAAAAACATGAAAAATAACAGTCACAAAACCATGCAAAGCTAGATATAGTTTGTACTGCAATATTTCCTATAAGAGTAAGAGGGATACAAATGTCATAATGTTTATTTTCCCATCCATTATATTTATCAGTCCAGCTCCTGTATGAAGTGTAACCCACAAAGTCAGCAGAAGAATATATTTTCCATTTTTAAAAGTCAAAACTATACAACCTGCACAGCTGATTATTGCAATTGTAATCCAATTACAAACTTCAGAAGTGTATTTGTTCTTTCAGTTATTTCTCATTCACCCTGATGACCCAAGAATGCCCCTGAATAAGTTGAAAGGCCAACATTGACATTAAGACACAGTCAAGGACCAACGCTGCTAAGAGCTTAAGCTAGTAGGTGAATTCTCGTGAATGGCTTTTATATCTAACATGCACTTTCATGGATACATAGAAACTATGATACCATGACAAGGACCAATCTCTTAACAGCTTAAGATATTAACTTAAGGCTCATGAATGGCTTTTGTATCTAATTCACTGTCCAAAGAACTTATGAACTTCAAAATCATATTTAATGGGAAATAAAACCAGTTTCTACGTAAAAGTGGCAAATGCAATGGTTATTAAAAAATAAAAAACTGTGCATAAGAATTGAGAAAGGAGTATAACTCAGAGTGTACGTAATTATAAATTTATTTTAATTTCAAAGCCATATAATTTCCTAACTAATTTTCTTTTACCTTTCCCCTTCTCCAAAAATAAATTAAAAAGAAAAGCAAAGGTAGGTTTGAGGTTACCGAAAATAAAAGTGATCAGGTTCAGTAAAATGATGCTTCTAACTTTCTTCGATGGGAACAGAATCCTCCGCAACAGATATCGCTTTCGGAATCCGAAAACAGTCTTAAAACTTCGGGTTCGGACTTCGTTTAAGCGGGTCAGGTTTTGACCGGAACGGGTCTTTTCATTCTCCGTGGGGGGATCGGGATCCGCGTCTAGTGTTACGGGCTTGTTGGACCCGGGACCCGAACTTGATGCAATTGGTGAACGAGGAGAGGAGTGGCGCTGCAAAGAGCAAGAGGTAAAACGATGGCGTTTGGTGCGGGAGGTGTTAAGTGGGTAGAGAAATGAAGAATTGTGCGAAGAAGAAGGAGAAGGAGAAGAAGGGGTTCTAGAAGGGTCGACGTAGATGGGTGCGGTCCATGAGCACAACCAACAATGCGAGTGAGAAGCCATGGATAGTCACGAAGATACAGAGGAATATCACCAAAGAATGAAGCAGCAGCAGCACCTATGCCACCTTTAAATAATTGATGGTATGTTATTAAGTGGAAAGTTCAAACACAGAAAAACATTGGGGCATGTGAAAGATCTTATGGAAAGTTTAAAATATATTATATTATTTAAAATAACTTAAACAAATTTTGTAAATTTTATTTTCGACGAGAGTTCGGGGAGTAGTGCACAAAAAAATAGAAAATAACATTAAATACTTTATTAATAAAAAAATTAAATTTTAGGATGAATAAACATGCGAAAGTGTATATAAATTTTTTTATTCTAACTAAAAATTATTAACTTTCTACATAATTTAAAATTATGTTTAATGTTCAATTAATTTAAAAGTTATTTTTAATTAAAACTGCAATTTATGAAAATTTTAATTTTTAAAATTACTGTTTATTTATAAAATACATGTGAAATTTATGTGAAAAAAAGTTAAAAATGACTGTTAACATAATTTTATAAGGATATAAAATAAAAAATTTTAAATGATTAAAAAAATTATAAATTTTTAATTTGAAATTAAATTATAAATTTATAAAATTAATATTATTAAGTAAAGTAAAAATTTAATTTGTTAAAAAATATTTTAAACATACTAACTTGTTAACGTATCATTTAATTGCTAATTCATCATAAATATTAATACTAAATATTGTATTATATTAAATAAAAAATTAAATTAAACTAAAATTTAATTTAAAAATGAATACATAATAAAAAAATATTTAGCATAATGAAAAACAAGTAATCCAATAATCATTTCCATTCGAAAATAGTTGTAAATTATAGACAGACAGTGATATATTTCCGTTAGTTCTCACTACTCAGTCCTCTGAAGAACAAAATCTGAAATGGCATTGACTATGAAGGTTCCTTTCCTCACGCCATGCACCAAACTCACCACCGTGTCTTGCTCCTTATCTTCCCAATCCTTAAAGGTTAGGTTCCTTTTCTTCTCTACCTGTCTTCTCCTTTGGCGTCAAATGAAGCAAAAGAATAGAAACGAAAGCAGTTTGTGGTGTGTGTTTGGGAATGCAGTGGAAGAGAGAGTACACGAGCGTGATGATAGTCCCCACCGGAATTGGAGCCGCTATTGGTGGATACGCTGGTGACGCTTTGCCTGTGGCTCGTGCCCTCTCCTCCGTCGTTGATTGCCTCATCACTCACCCCAACGTAAGCACTCCATTTACTTCCCATTCGGATAAGCCTAACGGGTTACTCGGTTCATTCAGATAAACCTGTTGCGGGCAAGCTTTAGCAGGCTGGGCCTAAAAAGCCCGAATCTAAATTGAGTTCGTGAAAATGATGATTAAAGCAGGCAAAGCCTTATACTTTTGTGAGTTTTTGTGCAATTATCCTGCGTTGGTTGGGCTCAAAATTCAAAGTTCCAAGTCCTACGTTTTATCGAATGAGTTCAGTTAAACAAGAGGAAAATATAAGAGAAAGAAACTCTTTCACTTAACTTTATTAAGAGAATTAAACTCTGGCGAGTTAGAAAATTCTGAAATTAAATTAAACAAAATACAGGTAGAGCAAAATATCGATTTTTCCAAGTGTGCTTGAGGGCAAACAATAATGTGCTTGAATCATTTTGAAGAAATATGCATTTAAATTTTGCAGGTGCTTAATGCTGCAATGCTATACTGGCCGATGCCTAATGCATTATATGTTGAAGGTTATGCTCTGGACCGATTTGCAGAAGGGTTATGGGCCTTACAACCTGTTCACCAAAACAGGGTATGACTCAAATATTCTGACTGTGCTGCATCCTTGACTAGTTCATAGTTTATGCCATGTCATGTCATGCACTGTGTGTTACTTGCAAGGTGCTTTCTTAATCATGCTATTTCTTTCCAATTCAAAATATTACTGTGTTCTATTGTGTGAAGCAGGTGGGATTAGTTCTTGATGCTGGAATAGAGGAGGAACTCCGGGTTCGCCATTTACAAGTAGCTGATGCTGCAAGGGCATCTCTTGGATTGCCTGTTGTAGAATATATTGTTACGGATACTCCACTCAAGGTATTGAGCATAGTGAAATGTAAACCATCCTATATTTTCTGCCAATATTCCTTTCACTAGACGTACTTTTGTGAATAAAGGCATACAAGTTGGAGTTTGGAAAGCGTGATGTGTAATTTGGTTCTTCTGCAAAAGGTCAATGGGAAGTTTTACAGTTAGAAATTTGACTGCTGTTCATCTCCCTTCCGGAGCACTTTAAAGTTATATAAAGCATGTGATGTCCCTCAAAAAAAGAAAAAATAATCAGCCATGTTGTTAGATGTTTCAGTTTTATTTTAATTTAGTCAGATTTGTGTATTTTTGCTTGTTTTCATGTTAATAGAATAAATCATTTGCAACTCACAGTTATTGGGATATGCTATGTTGTGCACTAGACAAAACAAAATAAAAATAATTTTAACTGAATGAAACCATGTCAGTTATCATATTGTTGCATGTGTTGTCTTTCTGTATTGGCACAACATTTACTCATTTCTGAATGTCTTGAAGGTATACCTAATTTATTCTCACCTCTTGGACTTATTTCATTTTGAAGCTGGACATAGGAAGTCTTTATTCATGTCTAGTCTATAATTTCTGGCATCTATTATCATGATATGAAGCAATTTAAAATGACTACCCAAAGTTAGAACAAGCCTACCATCCCATGTAATGCCAGAGTTTTACTTGCATCAAACTTTACAGGTAGAGAAGTGGGTGGATCCAGAAACTGGCCAATCAACTGGGAGGATTAAGCACCCGGATTCTTTAGTTAGAGCTGTGCAGAGTTTAGTGCACAGATCAAAAGTGAATGCCATTGCCGTTGTTGGACGTTTTCCAGATGATGACACTGATGATGTGGATGACTATCGGCTGGGAATGGTACTACAATAAATATATAAGAATGTAATTTGATTAATTGTGCTAGTTCTATTAGACTAAAATAAATTATTGGATTATGTTGTTCTTTCTCTTTCTCTGTTCTTCTATCTTTGTTTTCATGTAGAACATAATCAACATATTCATTATATCTTTGATATTTGTTCTTGAAATTTAACTTGATGTTAAAAGATTTTTGATATGCTTCTTACCACTGCCCTCTAAATTCCAACAAAGCTGGCCACTTTTGTTCTTTTTCTCTGTAATTTTATTTTCTTAGTCATACCTTTGCATGGTCACTGGTACAGGATCAAGTCTTATTATATTACTTGGTTACTGACATATGCTTCCCACTTGTTACCTTATTTAGGGAATAGATCTATTGGCAGGAGTTGAGGCAGTTATAAGTCATCTAGTGGTGAAGGAGTTCCAAATTCCTTGTGCACATGCTCCTGCATTGTCTCCACTTCCCATGAGCCTATCTCTTAGTCCAAAATCAGCAGCTGAGGAGGTTGGTAAACTCTAAATAACATTATTTGATATTTGATTCAAATATATTGGAATGAAATAGTGATATGACTTAATTTGAATTATTCAAGAGATTACTTAATTTTGAATTCTAAGTTAGTCCATTGTAAGAGAACAAGTTAAAAGGTTCAAGAAAGCTTTAAATGAACATATTCAAGAAACTTGGACTAAAGATGAAACTATTAAAGCGGATTTTAGCTAGATGCATGAAAATAAGGAGATTGATTTCATTTGGATATGTGATTTATTAGAACCCGTTTTAATTTATTTGAACTAGGAAAAAAAAACTGAACTAGCAAAAGAAAATAAACTCCTAAAAACTAGATCATACAATGCAGCTGTGAAGGCACATTTTCAACAATTTCATCTTTTAATACTTCTTATGCTCTTGTGCCAAGTCCCAGTTTGCACATTTGTTATGTATTTGCAGTTGTAATGACTAAAGAAGTACTCTAGGCCACTAAAGACTGCAACATGCTAGATATTGTTGGTTAGGCTCCACTATCTGATGAGTTGATACTCACTTGTAGCAAGGTTGAGTTAAACTGTCTATATTAGCCTCTCTCTCTCTCTAGTCACAAGTGATAAGAATTCTAGCCTCATTTTTTATAATACTTCCTGTGGTATACTAGGGATATTTAGATAATTGATTCTAATGCTTCCGACCACTGTACCTAACTCCTCATATTTTTCATTGTACTCTACCTTATCAAGTAAACATCACATCACTGTTGTTAATGGGTCGCATATCACTTAATATATATTTCTTGTTCCTAGGCTCTTCAATAACCTGATTTCTATTTAAAAGCTCACTTGAACTTAAGTTATGCAATAACTCTTTTTTAATCTCATTGTGCCTTCTAAGACCTTGCCTTAGGGAGAACGATTGTAGTTGTTAAGGAACATTGAAGGGTTATGTTACTTTCAGTTTGTGGAGAAAGATGATGGTACTAAAAAATGGAAATCAATTCATGCCATCAGTCCCACTCAAAGTCAGTTATTTCTTAAATTTGCTTTCTATAAAAATGTCTAGGTCATCATCCTCCAGTTAGTGTTCTCGTGATTATGTCTCCTAAGTTTTTGTAAGAGTTTGTTGAATATTTAATTTTGATGTGTATCAATTTGCTGAACATCATTGGGCAACTTTTTTAAGTAGTTTTACTGAAAGTATTGAGCCTTTTGATCTCATTCATTTGGATGTGTGGAGACCTCCCATTTCTGATATCGTTGGTGTGAAATTTGTTTATGCTAAACTTTTCCCATTCTTCCCCTTTCCCTTTTTGTTGGAGTTTTTTTGCTTTATTTGTTTTTCATTTTCAAATAATGGATTGTCCATTAAATGAATGAAAATTTAATACTTCTGTAAGATGCTTTTTAATATTTCTTGTATTAAATTCTATAAAAAGATTGTCTCATTATAAATTGAATATTTCTCGTTCTATGTGTTTGAGTGCGTAATAGTACTTATGGATAACTTCCTCTTCTCAAGTAGATTGGGTATACCTTCCTCCCATGCGTGCTTGCTGGCCTAAGCAATGCTCCACAATACTTGGTCATGAACTCCAAATCCATGGAAAAGGGTTGCATATTAGCTAGTGATGTGGATTCTGTAATCCTTCCCAAAGATACTTGTGGAGGGGATGCAGTTCTTGCTTTTGCAAGAAATGAAAAGAAAAAGGTATAGATGCAAACACATTAACTTCTTTTTTCCTTTCTTTTTTTTTTTCCATAATCAGCAAGAACAATAATTGCTTGATGACGTTAGCTTTCTTCCACTCAGCACCCTAAACAGTCAAAGCAAAAAAATTGATAGCACTGTTGATTCATTATGTATGACAGTAAATTTTTTCTTGCAGCCACTTATAATTACCGTAGAAGAAAACGAAACAGTTCTCAATGATACTGCAGATAAACTTGGTCTTGAAGTGGTACGCAATTTTTCATTTTGTACATTTGTCCTTTAAGGAGATGATAATAGATAGGACCTTTATCTATTTGAATCAAAAAATTCGAAGAAATCGGTTGGCAGAGATTCTACTCATTATATTTGCAATTTACGTCCTAAGGAATAAAATGGGTTTAGACAAACACACAAAAGTGATGATAGATAGATAAACCAGTAAAATATTATACCGACCAACTAAACAGTAAACATTGCTTCATTTTTCTTCTATTGCTGTTGAAATGAGAGCACTTTGGTTGATAAAATTACCTATTTTGCAGCTGCATGTATCAAACTATTGGGAGGCCATTGGAGTTGTTGCAGCACACAAGGCAGGGATAGACCCGTTTTCACTTAGAAGGGATAAAATTCTCAGCGTCGGAAGCACTTCTTTTATGCCTGTTAATGGTCACTCCATTTCAAGAGAGATTATTTCCTGATTAACATTTGAGAATTGATGATAAATCATCGGTTATTATTATTATCGTTAACAATTGGAGGGAATAGTGTATAGCCTTTTGATTGTCTTATAGCCATATATGTATTTGATTTTAATATATTTTGTATTCTTATTATGGTTTATTATTTGATTTTAGTTCTATTTTTAGGTTTAGATCCCTATAGTTTCATTTCATTTAAGTTTTGGTCCCAATTACATATTAACATTGGTCTGGATGGTTGTCTCTTGAAGAAATGTTGTGACGAATTGTTAGTGGTAGGGATCTAGGAAAGAAAAAACTAGAAAGACTAAACCAAACCTTTTAAAGTATAGAAATTAGATATCACTATCCAAATTAAAGTAAATTATAGACACAAATTATGTTTGAACCCTTCCCAGAAGGTAGTAAATGTTTTTCCTTCTAACTATCCTTTAACAGACTAACACGGTGGATCAGGTTTGCATTATATACTGAATTGGTTTTAATAGCAGGTTAACACCCAACTCAATCTAGTTACTGACCTAAGTTGACCAAAAAAACCAAAAACTAGTTTCAGACCTCCAAGAGGAAAAACAACGAATTCTAGCTGTTAAGCGATATTTCCCAACCTGAAACAAGTAATCTAGTTGACATGAAGGAAGACTATCTACTATATAGTTATTCTTATCAAAATGCTGAATTTTCTTTTTCTTTCCGGGTGAAGATTGGTTATTTTTAATGAGCAATCACTGCTTCTAAATGGCCAGTAGTGACTCACCATATTTTTACTTCGTAATGATAGAATATTATATTCCTTTTCAGGTGTATATAATAAATTATTGACTTAATTGTACTATTAATTTCTCTAATTTGAATCATGTGTAATTTTGGTCTTTTAATTTTTAAATAAATTCTTTTATTTTTAAAATTGTATAAATTTAGTCTCCCCAAACAACATGAAACTCAATTTTTTAAAAGATTTGTAATGTAATTGGAGCATAAAATTATTTTGAAAGTTAAAAAATAACACAAATTAGATTGATCAAAAAGCCTAGATTATTCTTGTTTCAAATTATACGTAGGAAATGGACTTTTGAAGTCCGGTGGAAATTTGAAGGAAATATTGGAATGACAGTAATCAAAGTATGCAAAATTAAATTATCATTTTGGTCCCACAAAATTAGGTTAACAATTAGTTTTAAGATATATCAATTCAGTCCTAGAAAAATGAAGTAATCTTCTGTTTCGAAAAAAGAAACACTAATTTGATTGTTGAATAAAAAGAAAATAAGGTGAATTTATATTATGATTCTTATTTAAAACTCCAGATTCACTCTGAATTCTAGCTCCCACCAATTTGTTCCATTGAGAATAGCATAACTAGGAATACCATACACAAAGGAAAACATCACTTTTTCTCCAATCACCGCAGCACCGACTCTGCAAATATATGTTTCCTACAAATGCATGATAAACAATAAATTAAGTAACGTCACACATCTAATTTGATTCCCCAATTGATTGAAGTCAATCCAAAATTTATGTATGAGTTGGTGACTTTTTTCATCTCTTCGTTCGGAAATTTCATGTTCTGTTCGAGTTTTTACCTGAGTGATCTCTGTCTAATATGACTTCGAGTTTTGTTTGTGGAGCAGAAATTCATGATCTCTATCTCAAGCAACATGCAAAACATCAGAGACAAACAGGTCAAATGTAAACGGTGAACTAAATGTGGTGAAAACTGAAGCAAAATTCATGGATCTGGATCGCCTGCAGTTCTGGCGGGAACTGCAGACTGCAGTTTTTACCTCGCTTAAGCGAATATTTTTCATTTAAGCGATCCACAAAAGGGCTTAAGCGAGCTAGAAGAGACTTTTAATCGAAATTTGCTTAAGCGACCGAATTTGGTTTAAGTGAATTTAAATTTGCTTAAGCCCTGTCAAGCGAAAAAGAAATATTTGAAGCGAAAATGGACTAGAGACCACATGTTTCAGGCAGTATAATTAGCTTGAGCGAATTTTAAATGGCTTAAGCTAATTTTGGTAGGGCTTAAGCGAGCGAATTTGGCTTAAGCTAATTTAAATTAGTTTAAGCCCTCTCAAGCGAAAAAGAAATATTTGAAGCGAAAATGGACCAAAGAGCACATGTTTTAGGCAGTGTAATTAGCTTGACGAATTTTAAATAGCTTAAGCGAAGTTTGGTAGGGCTTAAGCGACCGAATTTAGCTTAAGCGAATTTAAATTAGCTTAAGCCCTCTCAAGCCAAAAAGAAATATTTGAAGCGAAATTGGACCAGAGAGCACATGTTTTTCAGTCACATATTTCGCTTAAACTAATTATTAATCGTTTAAGGTATTCTTACCTCACTAAAGTCAAGACCAACGAATTTAATTATTGTCAAGCGAATGTAAAACAAAGAGCACATGTTTCAGGCAGTGTGATTAGCTTAAGCGAATTTTAAATGGCTTAAGCGAATTTTTGTGGGGCTTAAGCTAGCGTTTTACAAATCTAGCGAAACTTTTTTAGCTTAAGCAAGTTTTATCTGCTTAAGCGAATTTATCAGAAAATGCATTAACCTGTATAACCTGATATAATCGCTTAAGCGAAAATTTGAAGCTTAAGCGAAATATATACGCACTTGGGCCATGTTCAAAAGAAATCAAGCCAGAATAGATTTAGCTTAAGCTAAATTTGGTCGCTTAAGCGAAAGGTACAGAAAATCCAACATAATCCTAATACAGACAACATTCAAGGGGGTCAAAATACAGTTGATTACATATAAATTTTTTAAACTTACATCTTACACAAAAAGGAGTTGATAAATACATATTTAGCTTTAAAACAAAAGAAGTTTTAGCAATTGCATAATCAAATTTGATCAAGGATTAAAGTATTGGTATCATGAAGTTGTCCCTGCAAAATAAGAAGAGACATTATAAACAATAATGGATGGAAAAGAAATCATGATATTTGGTTTGATTTAAGTTGATAGTCTTACTGTTAACAAATCCGTGAAACTTAATTGATTGACTAATGCTTGAGGGGGATCATAACATGGAGGCGCTGAACAATGAACTTCAAATGAATCTGAAAGCATTGGTTGATATTCCTAAAACATTCAATGACCGCGAAATTTATGATATGGTTATAATAAAAAAAGTTAAAATAAATGTATTGATTGATAATTAAAGTAATCATAAAAAAGTACCTGAGATGTTGATTGACCTAAAGTTGGGGTTTTGTTCTTCTTTCTTTTTGCTTGTAATTCAACCCAACCTTTGAATCTTTTACACTCTTTCCTCTTAATGGTTGGTCGTTACTTGAATCCCTTAGGTTGTGTACCTTGATTAGTGACGTTATTTACACCATCGTTCCTATTCTTGTCATTATCTTGTGTTTGTAAGAGAAGCTTTGCGATGTGGCCCACTAAAGTGTTAATACTGTCATAAACTAATTGACAATATTTTTTTGAACTAGAAACCTCATAGGTTAACCTAATCATTTTATATGCTAGGTGTTGGTATCTCCGTGTAGTAGAAAGTATAGGATCTCCTTCCACTTGTATGCCTTTTACATTGTGAATAATTCCACAACGGCCTTCTGTTGTCCATCTCTTTAGTATGTATTTGTCAGGAATAACCTGTACATCATTGGCTTCAAACACTTTCAAAGCATGACAGCAAAGTAGGCCCATTGTTTCAAACTTTTTACTAGAGCAATTGATAATAGTTGAGGAACTATCAAATGTAACTGTCCATGACCTTTGTTGATTGACTTTAGTAATTACATATTCAATCAAAGAAAGAGTTTCAATCCTTAATGAGATGCAACATGCCAAAAATTGAGCAAACTCTTGTTGAAATAAATTATACATTGTATGTGTGTAAACCTTGACCATTTGTATTAGGATTGGTGACACCTCATATCACAACATGGCTAACTTATGACGGGAGTCATACTCACACTTAAGCTCATGTAACGTTTGTCTTCAACAACCCATTCAAAGTGAGCAAAGAATTACTTGATGTCAACACCATGTTTCATACATGCCTTGAAATCAGAATTTAAGCTTTCACTCAGCTGAGTACTTCGCATTCCAAGGGTTAAACAATTCTTCAGATAACGCGATGCCTATTTCTCCTTTATGGAATACAGTGAAGTAATCCAACTATTTTGTTCAACACTGTATTTTGTAATGAACTTTGTCTAAGCCTCCTCAAAGTCAATTAAACTATCAAAGTGATACATGTATCTTTTCAAATCTCTTAAAAAATGACTTCCTCCTTTCATCAAATTGCCAAGATATTTTATTCCATTTTGCATTAAGTGCCATGTGCATAATGCATAATATGTCTCCGGCATTACATAGACAAGTGCTTTGGCCATAGCTTGATCTTAATCTGTAAAGATTGTTTGAGGTTTTTTGTTGTTGTGTGCTTCCAAAAAAGTTTCAAACAACCATTGAAATGATTCGGCTGTTTCATCGTACAACAAGGCTGCCCCAAAGATAACAACACCTCTGTAATGGTTAAAACCGAAAAATAATGCTAGAGGCCTATTAGCCCGATTTGTACAATATATAGTGTCTAGTGATACAACTTTACCAAAAAACCCATAATTAATTACCATCTTTGCATTCGCCCAAAAAAACATTTGTGATTTGCTCCTCCGCATCCATCTGGTATGCATGAAAAAAAGTTGGGTTGTCTAGTAATTGCCGTTAAAAGTATTGCATTAGACAACCGACCTCACCGTATACCATTCCTCTTTGTCTTTTTGCTCTAAGATAATTTTTTTGCGTCCAGTCAAGTATACCCAACATTAGCTCGATGTCTTGCAAGTGTAGTCATTAGTTGAAATGATGCTTTTTGTCGTGATCCGGAAGCCTCAACCGAATCAATTTCATGAGCTTAGACTTCAGTTATATTACGATGTGAAGTAAGCATGTGTGTTGTTTTGGGAAGTTGTAATTGGTGATTATGCTCTTCAACAAACTCACGAGTGACATATTTGTTGTTGTTTGCCAAAGACAATGATATCCTTGCAAGACATTCAGTTCTAGTTTCTGGTCGATGTTTTGTGACTTGGGGTTTTCTATTATCTTCTTGTCAATGTCTTTCTTTACAACAAACATATCCACAACCCGTAATGACATCATCTACCTTTTGCTTGTTAAAATATTGTTTCCCGACTCCA